TTTTTTATATAAATAAAATAGTCAAATAATCGTTAGGTTTATCAAACAGATGTTCGAGTTATTTGTTTTTTTATATTCTCTTTCTATAGGCACATAGACGAGTAGTGTGAAAAAAAGAAGATAAATCTACATTATGCTAAACAGCAAGTCGAGGAAAATGTTTGTTTCGATTAACTTTGTTTCTCCGCCATTTCCACAGCAATCTTCGTGTATTCATCCAAGTTTTCTTTGGGCAGATCTTTTCTCTCTTCATAATTACTATTCTTGTCCGGGTAGAATGCCCTTGAGTAAAGTAATTTTGCAAAGCCGAGCATGTTACCCTTCTTGAACTCTTCCACTCCGCCTTTGTACCGATCCTTGGCTGGTTCATAGTTTACTTTACAATCATTTAAACTGGCACCAGTCACGCGCAGAATCGAGTCCAACATATCTTTCTGGCTGATATTAAATGACGAAACATAGACATAGTTGTTTCGGAAATCGTTTAGACACGGACTCTTGTCATTGGCATTGTCCTTGAACACCTTCAAGCTAAGCAATTTCGCGACAGCACGACCAGTCTGAGGCCAGGTACTCGTATTAATGCGAGTATTGCCATCATCGAAGAAAGTGACAGTACGATCTTTGAAGTCAAATCCGTACCGTGCACTACTACCGGCTAGACTGAATTCGTACCAGAAGCTGCACACAAGTCCTATCCAGGAGCTCTTGCCCAGCTTTTCGATGTAATCACGGTATGTGGCCTTACGTTCACCAATAAAGTTGTCCTTTTGCATTTCCAAGTCAGTAGGATCACCTCCGAATTCGTTTGGTAAGATCCATGGTACATTTGCAGCTGCTGCTCTTCGATCAACTTGGATAATCGATCTGGTGGTGCTGTGACTGCCATAGTAATAATGAGAGCCTCTTGACCTTTAAGAGGCTCGACAAGCGATGATGGATCATCATAATTCACTCTCTTGATTTCGACACCAGATGGTAATTTGTTCGTGCTATCTTCGCGTGTAATCGCAGTGATTTGATGCTTTCCGATCTTGAGCAATTCATCTACAATGAATTTACCGACTTGAGCACCTGCCTGTTAGAAAAATTAAGGTTTGAATTAACGAGTGTAACTATTGAGTCGAGACAAATGCAACAAAATCAGAAACTAGTGGGTAAACGTTTTTTCATCAGGTGAAAGACACATGGCAAATCGAATTTCAACTTATCCCGACAACATCGACCTTTTCGATGTAATTTTTGAAACCTTGATGTTGTTTGTCCGCATATATTTGTCCCATTACATGCAAAATTAATATAATAAAACTATCTAAAAGTGCGAAGAAATTGTCAAGTCAATCAGTGCAAAATGTGCTGCATAGAAGAAAGACTCAGTTGTTGGCAAATCGGCTAAACTCCCTGGAATTTTATGCATTGCTCAGATACGAAGTGTACACTCTCTCAACTCTCAAATAGCAGAATTACAGTAGGACAGTGAAAGAGAAAGTGAAGCTTTTATATGTCAAAAAAATATAATACGAAGAAAGAAAAATGTAATATTACCACGTGACGAAAAGAGAAAATAATCGCAAAGTCAATGGCGATTACGAAGCAGTTCTTTTCGCGGCGTACTTTTTGTGCGATGTGTACTCTGTTCAGCACAAAGCGCACTTTAGTTACATAATTTATATTATATTTAAACAAAATTACAAAGTGACTTCGGATTAGTTTTATTTTGAAATAGGAAAAGAGTTCGATGAATAAATAACACAACGATGGAAAACATCATTTTTTTAATGTATACTGTATAATTCTCGTCAGACTCTTTTGAGTTTCATTTGCTCATATTCAAATTACTTCTTGGAAAAGACTATCTAGAATCAAATCAATCATCCCCGTGATTTCTCTTCTTCTGAAAATCAAACAAAATAATGGTACGATTCAGATAATCTCGTTTTCTGTTTCTCCTGCTTGTTTTTACATAAACTTAGAATCTTGAACAAGAAAAGCGAATTCGATCACGAACTATTCGTCTGTATCTAGTGAAACTTGCTCAAAAATGATAAACAGAGAGAATTGAGTTAGTTTCCTCTTCGCATTTTTTAGAAAATTCACTAGCATTGGCGATCGTGAGGAAAAATCTTATTCGAGATGTTTCGAAACATGTTGGTCGAGCGAACGCTCTTCGGAGTTTCCTTTGCGCAGTTGACTGTAAAAATAAGTTCCACGAGTTAAAGTCTTAGATTAGAGCACAGTGATACTCATGCCAAGACAAACAAAAAACATATAGTCAGATTTGTGTAAATTCAATGGTTTAGGATTGCAAGACATGTGAGTATCGTTGTCTTCTGAATCATCACGGTTGTTTATTCAACTTCTCTTGTGTCTATGCATTGCGATACGATAGGAATTATCGTCAAAAGTTGTTGCTTTTCGTTTAGCTTCGATCGATTTTTGTAAATTCTTGAAAAGACTTTATTGACAACAAATGAGAAAAAGGTTTAAAAATTTGATAAATGACAAATATCATTCGGTGTTGCTGCTTGACTGAAAATGTAGAATTTATCAATAGCACCGACAAATTGTCCCATTCCGATCGATCCTCTTTGACAAGAAGCTGTATTCGTCGGTGACGAACCAAGAAAAACATCAGATCCAACGGGCGAACGTGTTGATAGTGATGCATTTGACATAATCAGAGTTCCATTTATATAGAAGTCGATTCCACTTGATGGATCATATCTTTGAAGAAGATGAGTCCATTGATTCAACGGAAATGAATTTGAAATCATCATTGATGTGAGCTGATTTGATGAATCAATGAAGTTCACAATCAATGAACCATTCAAAGAAAATTCCCACAAGGAAAAACAAATGAAAACCATTTGCGAAACGATAAGATATGTTCACCATCAGATTGAGTTGATGTGTGAAGAAATGTTCCACCACCAGCACCAGTAAAACTCATTGGTTTAATCCATATGGAAATTGTGAATGGAGTATTCAACATATTGAAAAAATTACCTCCTTCAATTGTCACATATGACGATGGGGATGAGAATTTTATTCCTTGATTCACTTGTCCAGTTGTTTGGATTCCACCTGAATTGATGGCATTGATTAGATTTGATCCTGAGTCAATTAAAGGTGATAAAGACTCAAATTGAAAATAACAGAAAATTCTCGCTTTTGAATACAGGGTTGGGAATAATACTATTCTAGGTGGGTAACGCTACTATTTCGAATACCGACCCTAATGAATTTCATACCAAATTATAGCCCGTGATAAATGGGGTTTCCTGGTACTAAATTGTGAGGAGTTTGTTCACCTTTTTCCGGCAAAACTTTCAAAAATGATGATAATTTACATAGGTGAAGTATGCAAAAATCGGTATGACAGATGAAACTCGGTCTAATTCATTCGACCGAAGGAAGAGGGATGCAAAAAAAATATTAAAATCTGCTTGTTTGTTAGTTTATTAACTAGTTTATTTCTTCATGATTTGAGTAATACATTCAATAACTGATATGACGACCATTAGCGTTTTTTACCGCACGTAGCCGAAATGGATACGAACATAGAAGAGTTTCAAATAATTCTATATCTTCTTCCATGTTTGTTAAAACATCTTCGATATGTATCTTGAGTGTTGCCCCAAGATAACGATCGTTGCCAGCTTCGGACAGCATTTTCTTTTCAACTTCATCTTTGATTATTGATCCAATGTGTTCCGCCACATTGAGATCCCGCGAATTTCCAAGCCAGATATCATTNGCACGTAGCCGAAATGGATACGAACATAGAAGAGTTTCAAATAGTTCTGTATCTTCTTCCATGTTTGTTAAAACATCTTCGATATGTATCTTGAGTGTTGCCCCAAGATAACGATCGTTGCCAGCTTCGGACAGCATTTTCTTTTCAACTTCATCTTTGATTATTGATCCAATGTGTTCTGCCACATTGAGATCCCGCGAATTTCCAAGCCAGATATCATTGCCCCAAAAGTTAACGTCGTTATCTTGAAACAAATGTAACTTCATCGAGATCGATAACGTTTTCTTCATTGTTTAAGAAAGGGAATACATTCTGTGTTAAAATTACACCTCGAAAATATTCACCAGTCCATGATTCACCTTTATCTTTGATCACCCAGATTAATCTTTTACAGGTAAACATAACAAAAATTCCAATGTATGCTTGATGCCTGACCATTTCACGATACCTGTCATCCTGTGCGATGTCTTCGATACTTCTTGGCCAGATTCGATCATTTTGATAATTTGGTCTAAGGACGGTCCAGACGTAACATCCATCTGATGGTGCAAGATGGAGAAAGTCTTCCTTGACCCAATCCTTTAACCAATCACACAGCCATAATCGATCTAATATATGAGTTTCTGTTTTTAGTCGTTTCGAAATGACATGGAATGGCTTTAGTCCTTCTCTGTGACGATAATCACTAATTGTTCTTGGAGTCAAGTATTCTCCGTGTTTTTCAGCAATTTCTTTTGCCACAACAGAACTACTTTTTCGTTGTTTACCACTTGCACTAAGAAGAGTATCTTGACTAGCGTGAGATAACTTGAGCTTAGAACCAGTATTTGAATAATCAGCAAAACATTGATCATATGATTTTCCCTACCATTCTGTGACAAATCGAGTAGTACGATTAACTTTTTCTGCTACCCATTGTCGATTGATAAATGTCGCACCAGCGTCACGATCTTCACGAAAAGCAATGCACCTGATTCTGTCAATCATTCTTTGCTGTTCGTTATCATAATTACCAGCCATTTTCAAGTAATGAAACTTCGTTGGTTCGAAAGAGGAGAGATTCTTTTACGAAACGAATCAAACTAAAAATAGTGTTACCTACCACTCTGCGAATCGCCAGAATTTCTCTCTTTCGATGTTTCCTCACAGAAAGAAAAAATTCTTTGAATAGCTGCTATCAGGTGGATCGAACAACAGAACGCGAAGGAAAAGACCAATTTCTCTATCAAATATACGTCTTATAATTGCTCGTACAGAGATTTTGATTTTTATACAGAAAATGTCTATTTTTCTTTGCTGTACCGTTCTTCCGAAATAAATAGTAACGTATGTGTTGTACGAAATTTCGAAACGTTTCAAAGTTTTGCTGGAAAAGGGTAAACAAAAACCCCTCACAATTTAGTACCAGGAAACCCCTTTTACCACGGGCTATAATTTGGTATGAAATTCATTAGGGTTGGTATTCGAAATAGTAGCGTTACCCACCTGGAATAATATTATTTCCAACCCTGTAGTTCTTTTAAAACTTTATCGTTTTGATTTACCTGTTTTCAATATTAAACTCTTTGAAAAATGATTTAATTCTAATTAATAGATAATATTTATAATCCAAAAAAAATTGAAAACAATGAGAAATAAATCTAAACTAACGATATGATAATGTAATTCATTCTTTTCATGCATCATGCACTTATCTCGAATATTCAATTCTCTTCTACTAATTTTATAATAATTCAAAGAAAAAATCTTGAGGATTCATAGAAAATAAAGATAATATTTAGTTATATGTGACTTATTCTTGAACTACTTCTAATTATAAGTTCAATAATGAAAGAAGAAATTTAATGAAAGATTTGATTTATTAATATTTGTATTTCAGGCTCAAATAAAGAAAAAGTTATTGAACTGTTGTTATTTGATGATATTCATATTCATTTAACACTAATACAGAGGTTATCCATTGCATAATGCGTACCATCATCCGAGACATTTGGATTTCGTGTTCCACCTGATGTTGAAAATACAACTGTGTCTAAATTAGAATATCCAATAAATGTTATATTAGATAACAAAAAGACTTGAATTATATAAGTATTATTTGCAATGATCACATTTGAACGATATCCAACGACATTTAATTGTAAATTATCTTTCCATGCTGAAGCCATTGCAACAGAATGTAAAGTAAAAAGGGTACCATCAAGGTTTGTCATTCTCATTGGATTACCATAAGCGTTATGTGATGTACAATTTGGACTGACAGTGCCTGTCTGAAATCCACTTATATTATAAGAGTTGATGAAAACATATGCATTATTCCAATTAATACTCTTATACCCATTTGGTACAGCTGTTAGAGATGGTAACTCATCAAATGTTATAAGTATACTATCATTCCCACAACCTATATTTTTAAGCAACGAAATATATAGAAATTATTTTTGCTAAGTCTTAGATGATCATATATTCTCTTTAAAATGTGAATGCTAGTAAAGAACGCGCGCCAATGCTGAATTCACACTTCACTCTTCCCCGCCCTCATCAAGATGATCAAGGCGTAGTCTTTCCACAGTGGTAGATTTAGGGGGAGGTTGGTGATGGGGGCCGGTGGCCGCTCCTTCCGAAATTTTTTTAAAGTTTTTCAGCAAAAATAAACGAAAAATGGAATTTAAACTATCTCGCTCAACCCCAACATTTTTTTAGGCAAAACTGACGTAAGATCGCTAAGTTCTTGATTCGAGTTTTTCCAAGCCGAATCCGCCTATTAACTGGAACCAAGTAGAACTGAACGAGTTCTATCGATTGGTAAAAATATATTTTCGAAAATACTCCTGCTTACCCCACAAAAAAACTAAAAAACACAGAAAATCGATAAAAACTCGTCCGAATTCATCTATGGACTGAAACCAAAGTTGGTTTTGGTGAAACCAGATGCAGCTCGACGAGCTCAATCGATTTCGCATCTAATTTTTCAATTTTGAGCTGATTAATACGCAGAAATGTGCATATTATCAATCAATCTATGAAATCTGCATTTTCACAACAATTTAATTCCTTACTTTTTTCAACGAATAGGGTATTTCTATTATGTAAGATATCATGAATGACAAGTAAGATTTTTCTCAGGGCTATTTTTTGAAAAGGTGAAAATTACTGTATATGGTGTTAAGGATATGATTTTACGATTTTCCTCCGTAGGATAACTTCGGGCAGGATTCGACTATTTCTTGAGCCGATTTGTTTCAGCGTAGGTGTCAATCAAACCAAAACTGGTTCCAAGTACAACTTGATCAGCTCTATCGGTTCCAAAAATAAAATTTCCGAAAAAAGTTCTTTCTTCATCCTCAAAAACTCAAAAGCCTTAAAAAAGTCCAAAATTATTGGAAAATCCGGGCGGATTCATTTTACAATCCACTATCACGATTTCAACACTGGTTCCAGATCATACTCAACAAGCTCTATCGGTTCCAATCATAAAAAATTTTCACCCACCCCTCGATTTTTTTGTTCTTGATACCTGTCTCCCATTTTTCTTCTTCGTTCTGACGACGATTGCTAGAGCTGAAACAGCGATTGCCGCAATAAAAATAATTGCAACTATAGAATATATCAACCATTTTCGTTTTGATGTTCGAACTTCTACAAATCTGTAATAAAGCACAATTTAGAATTTTATCAATTGTTTTATGAATACGCATACGGTACTGTTTCTTGTGAAGTAATTCTTTTTTCAGATTTATCATTGTCAGTTGAATGTAACTAAAATTATTTAATCAAAATTATTTGGATATCTTTCATTTTATAAATCTTACTTCACTGTTTATTGTTAAAGTTTGGTCCATATTTAACACTATAAACCTCACTTTCTTCTTTCTTTCTCGTTAAATGATTATATTAATGTTGAAACAAATTCAACATCAATGGTTGATTTTGTTTTTAATATTAGAAAATCGTGGCAGATGTGATTTATTATTTATTGTAAATAGCAAACATTCTGCAACAAGGAAATGAAACCAAATTGTTTTAAATCAAAACTAAATATCATGAAGCATATGTTGTTGTAATGTTTTTAATGAATGCAAACCTATTATAATTTTAATTTGATAAAGAAACTTTTCTGTTGATCGAGTGAATAAATATAAATTCAACAAACTTAATAAGAATACTATTTTAGATAATTCGAAGTAAACTTATCATGAAATTATCTGTAGTGTCAAACTTGAAAGTTGAATTCAAGTCTTCAGGTATTCCGTTTTTTCGTACGAACGCTCAGAAAGCCTTCGGCCCTCTTCTCTTCTGGTATCTTATTCGTCAGTTACATAGCGTGCTGCTAGTGAGAGCGTGGTACACTTTTTCCGCAACACATAGATTGCATCGTCTCTCTGGGTCAACGGAAGTGTCGATCGACGCTTGGTAACGATAGCTATTACAAACACTAAATAAATAGCAAACAAACTCTCTTTTTTCTGCATATGCATGGAAGCAAACAGCAGAACCCGTCGCATCTTCACATCTGACATCAACTTTTCTATGACAATCATTCTTTTGCTCAATTTTAGAGAAACCCAGCTGGCCGTGTAAAACGTCCCAGGCAAGTTAGTCCGAATATTCTCATATTTCTTTTCACCCAAAAAACCTAGCGAACTCATCCCTACCAGTACCATCATACCACACCACCCACACCTCACCCTCAAACAAAACCGTGCCAATGCTTGTTCTTATCCGAATTCGATCCCCAAATTTTGATAGCAGGCATATCAGCCAGTCACGATTTCAGAATATTTATTATATGTAGGTGAACACTTCACAGAGGTCTGTTTCAAGCAAAAATATCCAATTGAAGCTGCTGAGTGTTCACTATATAGGTATTTCAAATTGTTTTTTTTTGTCTAATTCCATTTCGAAAACTATACAATTCGTCCATTTCTGGCTTGTTCATGTACTTGTTGTAAACATAACTGATACTAAAATTTATTTTCGAATGGAAGAACTGTGGCTGCTTTTAAAAATAATCTGAGAAAACAAGACCCTCAAGAAGCACTATGCACGAACATGCAATAATATATTTTGGCGCGGTCTAGACCTCACTACCTGTTGAAGAAAACGGTCTCTTTATTGCTATTTACTATCTCGTATTATTTTCAATACACTCACTTCAGTTCTGTTCGTATACAGTCTCCGTGTGTTCCTGCATTTCGTTAATTGACTGAGTGTGTGATTCTCATATTCTCTCCTATTATACTCTTTCTTCCAATAAATTCTCTATTTTCGATATTAGCTATGCGCATTCTCTTCTTGGTCAGTTCAGAATCCTTACTGAGACAGTGTTCATCCGCAATGGTCTAACACCGAGAAAAAATTAATTATAGCGATCAGCGAGTCAAAGTGGGGTCATCAACTTAGAAATCACTTATGCGGAATGGGGATATCCGACTTTCTGTAGGAAAATTCTTTTTTTTGCCAAAATGATTTTGTGATCTCNCTAATTGTTCTTGGAGTCAAGTATTCTCCGTGTTTTTCAGCAATTTCTTTTGCCACAACAGAACAACTTTTCCGTTGTTTACCACTTGCACTAAGAAGAGTATCTTGACTAGCGTGAGATAACTTGAGCTTAGGACCAGTATTTGAATAATCAGCAAAACATTGATCATATGATTTTCCCTACCATTCTGTGACAAATCGAGTAATACGATGAACTTTTTCTGCTACCCATTGTCGATTGATAAATGTCGCACCAGCGTCACGATCTTCACGAAAAGCAATGCACCTGATTCTATCAATCATTCTTTGCTGTTCATTATCATAATTACCAGCCATTTTCAAGTAATGAAACTTCGTTGGTTCGAAAGAGGAGAGATTCTTTTACGAAACGAATCGAACTAAAAATAGTGTTACCTACCACTCTGCGAACGGCCAGAATTTCTCTCTTTCGATGTTTCCTCACAGAAAGAAAAAATTTTCTGAATAGTCGCTATCAGGCGGATCGAACAACAGAGCGCGAAGGAAAAGGCCAATTTCTTTATTAAATATACGTTTTATAATTGCTCGTACAGAGATTTTTATTTTTACACGGAAAATGTATATTTTTCTTTGCTCTACCGTTCTTCGGAAATAAATAGTAACGTATGTGTTGTACGAAATTTCGAAACGTTTGAAAGTTTTGCTGGAAAAGGGTGAACAAACCCCTCACAATTTAGTACCAGGAAACTCCATTTCTCACGGGCTTTAATTTGGTATGAAATTCATTAGGGTTGGTATTCGAAATAGTAGTGTTACCCACCTGGAATAATATTATTTCCAACCCTGTAGTCCTTTTTAAACTTTATCGTTTTGATTTACCTGTTTTCAATATTAAACTCTTTGAAAAATGATTTAATTCTAATTAATAGATAATATTTATAATCCTAAAAAAATTGAAAACAATGAGAAATAAATCTAAACTAACGATATGATAATGTAATTCATTCTTTTCATGCACCATGCACTTATCTCGAATATTCAATTCTCTTCTACTAATTTTATAATAATCCAAAGAAAAAATCTTGAGGATTCATAGAAAATAAAGATTATATTTAGTTATATGTGACTTATTCTTGAACTACTTCTAATTATAAGTTTAATAATGAAAGAAGAAATTTAATGAAAGATTTGATTTATTAATATTTGTACTTCAGGCTCAAATAAAGAAAACGTTATTGAACTGTTGTTATTTGATGATATTCATATTCATTTAACACTAATACAGAGGTTATCCATTGCATAATGCGTACCATCATCCGAGACATTTGGATTTCGTGTTCCACCTGATGTTGAAAATACAACTGTGTCTAAATTAGAATATCCAATAAATGTTATATTAGATAACAAAAAGACTTGAATTATATAAGTATNATATATCCACCGTTTTCGTTTTGATGTTCGAACTTCTACAAATCTGTAATAAAGCACAATTTCGAATTTTATCAATTGTTTTATGAATACGCATACGGTACTGTTTCTTGTGAAGTAATTCTTTTTTCAGATTTATCATTGTCAGTTGAATGTAACTAAAATTATTTAATCAAAATTATTTTCGTATCTTTCATTTTATAAATCTTACTTCATTATTTATTGTTAAAGTTTGGTCCATATTTAACACTATAAACCTCACTTTCTTCTTTCTTTCTCGTTAAATGATTATATTAATGTTGAAACAAATTCAACATCAACGGTTGATTTTGTTTTTAATATCAGAAAATCGTGGCAGATGTGATTTATTATTTATTGTGAATAGCAAACATTCTGCAACAAGGAAATGAAACCAAATTGTTTTAAATCAAAATTAAATATCATGAAGCATATGTTGTTGTAATGTTTTTAATGAATGCAAATCTATTATAATTTTAATTTGATAAAGAAACTTTTCTGTTGATCGAGTGAATAAATATAAATCCAACAAACTTAATAAGAATATTATTTTAAATAACTCTAAGGAAACTTATCATGAAATTATCAGTAGTGTCAAACTTGAAAGTTGAATTCAAGTATTCAGGTATTCCATTTTTTCGTACGAACGCTCAGAAGGCCTTCGGCCCTCTTCTCTTCTGGTATCTTATTCGTCAGTTGCATAGCCTGCTGCCAGTGAGAGCGTGGTACACTTTTTCCGCAACACATAGACTGCAACGTCTCTCTGGGTCAACGGAAGTGTCGATCGACGCTTGGTAACGATAGCTATTACAGGCACTAAATAAATAGCAAACAAACTCACTTTTTTCTGCATATGCATGGAAGCAAACAGCAGAACCCGTCGCATCTTCACATCTGACATCAGCTTTTCTGTGACAATCATTCTTTTGCTCAATTTTAGAGAAGCCCATCTGGCCGTGTAAAACGTCCCAGGCAAGTTAGTCCGAATATTCTCATATTTCTTTTCACCCAAAAAAACTAGCGAACTCATCCCTATCAGTACCATCGTACCACACCACCCACACCCTCACCCACCCTCGCCCTCGCTTTGTATGCGTTAAATTAGCTTTCACAGTTGATTTCAAGGTCAAAAGAAGATTATTCGAGGCCACTCCACTCGGCAAAACATCTATTGATTCATTTAGCATTACTAGAGAGACGTTTTGTTGATTATTCTCTCTTAAAATTGAACCACTGGCAGCAAAATCAATTGAAGTAAGACTGATGCTTTCCTGTATATCTTGTGCAGTCGATGAATTAGAATTATTAACAATTGCATGCGTCGATATGGCTTTTGGATGAAAGACCAGACATGGACAAGTCAAGTCAAAATATGACTTGACTTAAGTTGGACACTTGATTGTTATTCAAACTCGCAAGCGAAGAAACCGTGCTCGATCTTTAATAAACAAACGATATCGATAAATGGATTATAACAATGGGACCCATTGTAATATACAAAGTCACAGCGGTCAATAAATGGCTAAAAGATAGTGATGAAAGTTGTTTTGAACAATTAAATTATTCTCTAGATATATGAATTATTGAAAAATTGTAGAAGAGAGTTGATAAACAGAAATTTTTCTCATCAAATGGACGCTTTTTTTTCGTTGTATAAAAAGCTTCAGCGTTGTATTGCCATGGACTACGCTAGGACGCTATCCACTATGGATAAATCTTTTCATTACCTAATAGTCATTAATTTCTTCTAATATGAACAGCGTCCCGGCCTCCTGTTGTCATGAGAATGCTAGGGTGCCAGGACGCTATTCTTCATAAAGAGATAAATCTATTCCATAAATTACAAAGTACGTTGTTGCTCAACAATTGTCTGCTCAACTTCAACAAGAAACGCCTTTCATGGAATAGGAAAAGAATGTTGTATATATCTGTGTAGTATTGATTATAAGTGTATCAGACATTATTAGATCTAGATAAGTTTATCATTCAGATGTGTATTTATTTCTATCTAGAAATAAATGTGGACAAGTCAATGTTGAAGACGTGGATAGTCGAAATGTTAGATTTTCAATTAATTCTCCCAGCGACAAAATAAAGTTAATTACTGCATTTCATTTTTATACCACCTATTACACTATTTCGAAAAAATAAAATATATCATAAGATGCAGCGTGAAAAACACTACATTTTACATAATATTTCTTACCTTACATTTACGTTTTTCGTATTCAAAATCAAGCAAAGTTTGAGGCACTAACTTTAAACTCTTAAAAAAACTCATTTTTTTGATACATGACGAATTCTTTTTTTTCATGTTCCACTTTTTTGTAGCCTGAAATATTTTATTAAAAGTAAAACAAAATAGATCGAAAGATGCAGCGTGAAAAGCTCTACAATTTAGAATGATCAGTTATAAAAGGATGAAATCGGAAAAAACAAATTCCTCTTGGACCAAAAAGATTTGCCACCTCGTGTTGTCGAAATTCGATCACTCGAAATTTTATTCATTTTGAAAACAAAAAGTACAATTATAAAATAAGCAGTATTATGTAAATTGTAGAGCTTTTCATGCTGCATCTTGTTATATATTGTATTTCTTAATACAGGGTAACAGATGCTGTAAAAATGAAATACAACGCTTAAATTTGTTTTGGTCGCAGAAGAGGTTTTTTACATTGTTACATTCCAGTCTTTTTATAAATAAAACTGAAACAGTTTTCAGACCTAGCCATAAATAGTTTTGCAGAGAATTTTAAGCACTATCTTTTCATACCAAAAAGGTCTTTAATCATAGCGATCATGAAGTAGAGATCTTCCAAATATTGAGAGACCCCTTTTTTCTGGTTCGTCGAATAATACTTCTGAATTTTGTTTATTTTGAAAATAAAAATTACAACTACAAAACAAGCTGATATTTGTACAATGTAGTGTTTTTCACGCTGCATCTCGTGATATACTTTATTTTTTCAAAATAGTTTAATAGATGATGCAAAAATTAAATGCAGTATTTAACTTTATTTCGGCGCTGGGAGATTGATACATTATTTCAAAACTTCTGCTATTGAACCAAATAGATGATATGTAAAATTGTTTTATGTTGAATTGTATACTTTGAAAACATTACATATCCTTATTTACAACTGTGTATTACATATTACATGTAAAATTAGCACTAGAATGACAAAAGATGGTATCCAATGCTATTGAACGTCTCAGTGGTACTTATTAGCATTTCTTCATAAAATGATTGATTTCTTTAGCATTAATAACCGTTTCCAATAAGCGCTAATAAGTGAATATCTAGCTTACATATTCTTCATCAAAATTGGCAACAATAATCATTACTTTTGTTCGTGTACCAAAAATTAAAAGATTTAAGGTATTTCCTTAACTTTGAAAATAGATATTTTATCGTCTTTCTGTATATAACCTGATATACAAATTAAAATCTATGCATTTTTATAAATTTGAATTTAGAAAATGAAAAATACAGTCAAGGAATGACTTCGTAAAATTAATTGAAGATTTAAGATTACACTTACCAGTTTATCATCACTATATTCGACGCTTGCACGGCCATATAGGAGATAAAATTAAAAACGAAAATAACTCAACTAGCATATAGTCAACTATGAAAAAGAATGAAGAGTGATTACTTTTTTCTCAGGACTTATATAATAGCTGTTTCTACTGAATTTTGGTCGGCCTTCACGTTCCATCTTTGAGAACGAATAGTTTCGTCTCATATTGAATAACGGCACGTTGCAAGGACATAGTTTCGAAGCACCCTCTTTAAAAATTCTTTTCTCATTCTCATGCATCCTTACATGTAGGTAAAATGAATAATTCATATATGCGTCGGTCTAAAATACCAATTTTCAAACATTTTATCATGTAACTCAGTGGGAAGAATGCTTTCCCACCTACATTCCTTCCCAGAAAAGGCCAAAGTTCATTTTCTTTCAACGACTATATAAACCAGCACCATTTTCATTACAATATTCATTTTTCATCTGCTCCAAAAGTAAGTACTATACTTCTTTTTCTAAACTACACATTAACACTATTTCAAATCATCTGTAGGCCCCAAACAGCAAATTCGGATAGGAATCAATTATGTTAAAGTATACAAAAATACAACCTAAAGAAATTTCACATCCATCACGAATCAATCAAGTATCCTCAATTCATTGAAACTGATTTTCATCCGAAAAGTCTCCAAATTCTATACACATCGGTCTTCACTTCCAGCCAATATCAACGAAAATTGAGAATCAAATTTATAACCACCAATTCATAATTCAAGATGGAAAATTCTTACAAATATCTACCTTCATATCTTATGATTCAAATCGGACAAACTATCATGGAAGCAGCAAATCTAAGGTAAGGCGACAACAAAAAAAGATTTCTTTTTAGACAGAACAAAGACAGTTCAGATAGATTCACTCAGTACCTAGCACATAGAAAACCATAATGGCCAAAAATTCATTTAAAGTGCCACAGGAACAAGTAGATTATTCTTTTAAATCGTTGATTTCTATTACACCAGTGTAACATACAATATAAAACCTCTTCTCAAGACAATGAAATAGCATCATCCCATATTAACAGTTCAACTAAGGTAGAGGACAAAAACTTCCTAATGCAAAGTTACATAATAAAGCTATTTGACCACAGATATTTCCTACTACACAACGAGGAGATCTCCTATCATTTAATTTCACTAGTAAACAAGCTTTTTGCCATTCCAAAAAAAATATAATCATAATTCTATCGAACGCAACTTCATCAGCTAGTCCCTACGGATATATCAGAACTGATCCAGCGAGTATTCATCCTAAGATAAATTACGTTCTTCTAATTCACCTTGAGCTTTTTATAAAAGAAGAATTATATTTTCCATGAATTTCATTTAAATCTAATGGTTTTCAATTGCAAACAGAATTTTGTTTATTTTGAATTGAATCATACGAAATCGTAAGCTATCTGATGAGTCTTTGTGAGCGAAAGACGAAACGCGTCATAGCTGCTCATCTCACCCTCCAGAAATTCTCATACACTACAGTAATCATTCCAATACATTTGTCTTTCCGGGTAGCAGCATAACGATATTAGTAGTATAAAAGGTCTGATAGTATGATGGTTTAGGTGGCATAACTGGTCTAGTAATACGATGGCACAGGTAGCATAAGCGATATAGTGGTATAGTTGTATTAGTGATATAGTGATATTAGCGGCGTTAGCAGTGTTAAAGAACTTCATGGTTTATAAATATGAATGTCTATATACGATGAATACCGCTAATACTACCGTATTACTACACCGCTTATACCGCTATACCACTGCAATGATTATATCCTTTGATAGTAATTTTTTACGAATTCATTTACTTTTAAAGGAATTGATTTTGCTGCAAATTCATATTCCCCATCATATACTATTTACTAAAGATTTGATTGAATTTAAAATTGATTTTTGCAGAAACGTTTCTTTTAAATCAATTAAAGTCTTTTTATTCTTCGTTCAAATGTTTATTTTAATTTATTTTATCAAATCGAATTATTCGAGCATTTCCAAAATCTGAAACATAAATGTTTCCTTCTAAATCAAATGATAAACCAACAGGACTATTCAATTGATTTGATTCATTTCCTCTTCTATTTCCACCAACAACAATCGAACCTTCTTCATATCCTTCATACCATCGCATTATTCGATCATTAACACAATCTGCTATATAGATTTGATTCAACTCATCAACAAATAATCCATGAGGACCATTCAATTGATTGAGATTATTTCCTCTTCCATTTCCACCAGCTACAAGAATTCCTTCTCGAGCATCTTTCATCCATTTCATTACACGATTATTCTCCGAATCTGAAATATAAATCGAATGATCTTTAGCAGTAAAGATGAATCGAGGAGAGTCGAGTTGATTTAATTTATTTCCTCGTCCATTTCCACCAGCAACTAATATTCCTTGTTGATTTCCGTTAATTTTATCTAAATTCCATTTTCTTACTTCATTTTTCTCTTGATCAGAAACATAAAGAAATCTTTGTTGATCCATTGTTAAACCCGAACAATCAATATTTTCAATAAGAATCTCTTGTTTTTTATTTGTTGACCATCTTATCACTCGTCTATTCCCTTGATCAGCAATGATGATGGAATGATTGTGTTGATCAACAATCATATCTGATGGATAATACAATTGATCCAATCTATTTCCTTGTCCATTTCCACCAGCAATGATTTTTCCTTGTATTTCATTCGATTTCCATTCAATAATACGATGATTCCAAGAAGCAACAATGAAAATGTTTTTATTTTGATCAACAAAGATTCCATAAGGACTCGAGAGTTGATTTAATTGATTTCCATATCCATTTCCACCAGCAACAGTTGTTCCAAATTGTTGAAATTTTGTTTCTAAAGAAAGAAAATATGTTTCAGTATGAAATTAAACACAGTTTTAAAGAAAATCCTTTAAAAATTCTTCGTGTTTTCCCCAAATGAAGCAATGAAGATTAAAATGTGTTTTTCATGAATTTTTTTCGACTAATTGAAGCAAAGAAAAGATATAAATTTCTTTTTCTTTCTCAAAATTGTTGTTTTTTTTTTTTGTAAATGTTAATTTAATAAAAAAAATTTATCGAAATCGAAAAAGTTTTCATTTATATTTTATAATGAAAAAAAAGAAAATTCTTTTTTCATTGAAGATTTCATAATTATTCTCTCTTGACTGTAGTGAAGGTCATATGAAATCAAATAGTTTATGTCAGAGTCAAAGATCAAACACATCTTGTCACAAATTTGATTGGTATCTATAGCTTGTTGAAAAGCGCATATCAGGATTATGCATAGGTCTTCCAATCGCGCAATTTTGCGGCATTCAAGGACTTTTATGTTGGTCATTTTTCGGGTATCTACAGGTCCTCAACTTCTGTACTATGAAATTTTCCATGAATTGTCATGAGATGTATTTGAAGAATACATACGAATCATTCATTTGCATTTTGTTTCGTTCTCGAAAGATATTAGACAAAGTCATATTATCATTGAGATATTAAATGAATTCTTTGTTACACAGTCGAGAGTCAAGTGAGTCGCAATGACGAATGTTACTTATGGAATTATTCATATTATTCGCTGTCGGTTACATATGCTCTTCTATTAGATTTAACCAATCACGTAAGTTCTATTTTAATTTCTTCTTATCACAAAGCATTCAGTTTCACTAAAGTATCTCTTGATGAAAAAGTATTTCTAAGAACTTTACTTGTAGGTTGAATGGTAGTGGTGGTCGCGGTGGAAGTTGTAGTTGTAATTGTAATTGTGCTCGTTGTTGTAGTATTCATCGCTATTTGTTAATAGAAAAAAGAAAATAGATATAAAAGAACTGTCTCAACAGATTGTAAAACGTCAACAGTATTTAATCAACAAATAATTATATTTAAATTTACTTTCTGTAGTTGGACAAATTTTTTCATCCATCATTGATATTGGATAACAAACAGGATTTGAATTACAGCTTGGATGACGAACACAAATATGATTATCTTTCGTGCAAACATTATTTGAAGATTCACATAAATCCAATTGAGAACAAATAGGCCGAAGAGAAGCACATATTCCAAAATTTTCAGTATTTACCATTTTAAAACAACCACATGCACTATTTTTTGAACATCGATCATATTGAGACATATTATAACATATTTGACAATTCACTTGAAAGATAATACAACTAAATTCAATAGAAAATAAAAATATTACTATTCAAATGAATATATTGTAATGAAAATACCTGAATATAATCAATAAATAGCAAGAAATAGTTTTTGTGATCATAGTTTATGTTTTAATGAAATATAAAATCAAGTGATTTTTTTCTATCAATATATATATATATATATATATATATATATGCATTTATTTTCAATTGTAAAATCATTGAACTAATACTTTGAGAAATAAATCTCCAATCATATTTTATTATTTTATCAAAAAACCTAATCTTTAGAAAAATGAAAATCTTATGACAATAAATCTTCTAAAGATAAAATACTGAAAAGTAATCTAAAAACAAATATTTCATAGCAAAAAATCGTCAAAAGATGACGAATAAAGTATTAAAAAAATTTGCAATCATCATCAGACAACAACAAAAATTGATCGGTGTGAAGCTAGCACCATTTAGCCAGTAGTGTCAAACTTGAAAGTTGAATTCAAGTATTTCAAATATTCAGGTATTCGATTTTTTCGTACAAACGCTTAGAAGGCCTTCGGCCCTCTTCTCTTCTAGTCTCTGCTAGTGAGAGCGTGGTACACTTTTTCCGCAACACATAGATTGCAACGTCTCTCTGGGTCAACGGAAGTGTCGATTGACGCTTGGTAACGATAGCTATTACAGGCACTAAATAAATAGCACACAAACTCTCTTTTTTCTGCATATGCATGGAAGCAAACAGCAGAACCCGTCGCATCTTCACATCTGACATCAGCTTTTCTGTGACAATCATTCTTTTGCTCAATTTTAGAGAAAGCCAGCTGGCCGTGTAAAACGTCCCAGGCAAGTTAGTTCGAATATTCTCATATTTCTTTTCACCCAAAAAACTAGCGAACTCATCCCTACCAGTACCATCATACCACACCACCCACACCCTCACCCTCACTTGGCCGTTGAATAGTTGAATTCAAGTTTCTAGTTATACATATATGAAAATTCATGATATCTCCGACTCGAGACCATAGTGTTACCTGCTAGAATGATATTATTTACCACCCTGTACACTTCGTGGCCACCTCTTGCTCAATTCAGCATTGTGTGATACTTCGGACATCGCTGAAAGCACATTTTCACTAGACATGAGTGGAACTAGTCCCTGTTGAATCAGAATTATCTTTTACTTTTACGAGGACGAAAACAAAACTGTGTCAATGTTTGTTCTTATCCGAATTCGATCCCCAAATTTTGATAGCAGGCATATCAGCCAGTACGATTCCAGAATATTCATTATACGTAGATGGACACTTCACAGAGGTCTGTTTCAAGCAAAAATATCCAATTAAAGCTGCTGAGTGTTCACTATATACGTAGGTATTTCAAATTGTTTTTTTTTGTCTAATTTCATTTCGAAAACTATGCAATTCGCCTATTTCTGGTTTGTTCATGTACTCGTTGTAAACATAACTGATGCTGAAATTTATTTTCGAACGGAAGAATCGTGGGCGCTTTTAACAATAATCCGAGAAAATAAGACCCTCAAGAAGCACTATGCACGAACATGCAATAAAATATTTTGGCGCGGTCTAGCTCTCACTACCTGTTGAAGAAAATGGTCTCTTTATTGCTATTTACTATCTCGTATTATTTTCAATACATTCACTTCAGTTCTGTTCGTATAGTCTCCGTGCTGTTCCTGCATTTCGTTAATTGACTGAGTGTGTGATTCTCATATTCTCTCCTATTATACTCTTTCTTCCAATAAGTTCTCTATTTTCGATATTAGCTATGCGCATTCTCTTCTTGGTCAGTTCAGAATCCTTACTGAGACAGTGTTCATCCGTAATGGTCTAACACCGGGGAAACATTAATTATAGCGATCAGCGATTCAAAGTAGGGTCATCAACTCAGAAATCACTTATGCTGAATGGGGATATCCGGCTTTCTGTAGGAAAATTCTTTTTTTTTTGCCAAAATGATTTTGTGATCTCTTCAGATTATAGAGAACATTGAGGTGTGTGTAAAAACCTATTTTTTCCGGTGCTTTAGCAATTACTGAAGTCACTTTAAGACGTGAAAATTTATGTACTTAAATTACTCTTGTTTTTTTTTTACATTGTCAGCTCGACATTTTTGTTAATCGACCTCTATATGCATATTTTACCAAAACCTAAAATCAGTGATTACGTTTTATTAAATATTATTTTTTAACGAAAAACTCGAAAACAAACACCAGGTCGAATGAAACTGTGTTCGAACACTTTTTATTTAACATGATTTCTACGGTTAATTATCAGATAATGAAAGTTTAAGGTTTTGAAAAAAGGCTATGAACGAATCGCAAACTGTTTTCTCTATCAGTGTGAAGCTAGCACGAAGGAACTAGCACGAAGAAACTGTGTGTAAGCTAAAAACTTTTTTCCAGAGTTTGTCCGGCTCATAAAACCTAGTCCATTCGGTTCAGAATTTAATTCTGCATCGAATGGTGGTATTTTTATTCACCGGACAAACTTTGAAAAAAAGTTTAGACACATCTTTGTTTGCCTCATATAGGTCTATTTATGTTTCCGATAATTCTTTTTCAAAGTTTGTCCGGTGANATTTGAATTAGTTGAATTTATCAGTGTTACAACTGTATCTTCTATATCGTCCATGTTTGACTCGTCGCCTATTTTATAATGTTTACCAGTGATTAAATTTCGTCTAACTCGCTCTCTTTCAGCTTTCAGTTGTTCTTGCCATTTAGTATTGAGTCGAACGAGATCAGATGTTGAAGGAACAAATGATGTCATCTGTTGATAATTATCAGCAAATGGTGCATTTATCAAAATTTGATTTGGTGCTACAAGAAAAGATAGCGTTGATTCTGAAGATGAATGATTAAGCACTGTGTGTATAAGAGAATCGTCCCATCTGTTCTATAGCTTCTATAGTTTCATCTATATACACATTTTCTGTTGATTTCTTCATGCTGTTCATTGCAACTGTAGTAGAATTGTTTAAATTACCGAGCAATTCAAGTAAATCTTCGCTATCACTTGTATCATCGTATTCATCGTATAAACTTTGATTTTTTCGAAAGAGTTCCGGATTGATTGTGTCATTCTCCACTTGAGCTTCTGTGATCACTTTCACTAAGTGTTCATCTCTATCTTTCTTACACTCATGTAAAAGTTGAATATTATCAATGATATTCTGCGAGTGCGCAGATATATGATGCTGACGAGAGCTAAGTGCGTCTTCCCATTTCTGGCTGACATCGCAAAGATCAGATACAGTTCGGCAAGGCACAAAAAGTGTAAGAATAGCTCGACAATATCGTTCTTGGGTGTCTTCACGATCTCGCCGAGGTATTTGAGGACCATAGAGGATTGGTACACGATATTCGGTTTTGTTTCATCATTAGGTAGGTTGTTGCTTGAGGATGTTGTTTTTGAAAAGAAAATCGTTGATTAGGTGGTCGACCTCTGCGATTACCCTGCTCTTCTCTTCCTATAGAGCTATCAACTATATATTTTAAATCAGACGCGTTGATCTTTTTTTATAAAATGCGCTAACAAAATCGTATAAACACACATTATCGAGAATTCCTGAGCGATACTGATAATCAATCCTTCCGTTAACTAGCACGAAATTGTTTCCATTTTCATTTTCGACAGATTGAATTTGAAATTTTCTTCATTATTACTTATATCGTTTGCATTCTCATCATTGTACACATTGTCATTATAGTCCTCATCATTATCATTCATTACATCAATCTGTGAAAAAAGAAAATATATTTTTTGTTGATTTGATTTTTATGATTGCATATCTTCACGTTTCTGCTAATAAGGGAAGAATCATACTGGAAAAATTCCATTCAGTTCCTGTGACTTATTTACGTGATATATTTGATGTGACAACAATATTTTTTTAATCCGAGCTGGATATCATGTTAGATATCTCGTTATGTCTTCCTATGTGATGAATGTATTCTTTTCCTTCCTATAACCCTCATTGATTGTTTATATAACAACTGTTTCTTCTCTTCCTCCTCTCTCTCTCTCTTCGTGTGTGAAGATAGAAGAAGAATTCTCATATGAAAAAATGTAACTGTAGGAGAGATGAATTGCAACAAATCATCGTACTACCATATGAATTTGTTTCTAGATTTCGTGCGACACGTAAATCATTCAATTCTGTCTGCAAGTATCGTTCAGTTTGAATTAAATAAAGTCCTTGGAATTTGTGTGTTGTACAATGATCGTCCAATTCATAAGATACGAAGCAACTTGCACTCCAGATAATTCTTGTTGAGACACAAGTGTATTGTAGGAAAGTAAAACGAATTTACGTGATCTTCTAATAGCATTGTTGCCTGTCCAAATAAATTTAACGTCCATGTTAGAACGACATGCTGATATGATGTATTCATTGAAATTATTAATCATTGGATGCGATCGTCGCATACGTATATCACCAGTTTCAGGATCAATTATCGACTTTGGCACTAATTTGCGTGGCAAACGCAGTCGACAAATCCTTTTCCGTTATAGATAAGATCACAATATTTGTAACGTGTATCAGTATGAATATGAGTGTTCTGCGCTTCAACTAGTAGTACTACATCAGCAGGAAATCTCGATTTAAAATTAGGAGACGATGGATTTAGAGTAGGTAAGCAGGCTGGAAATATTTTTAATTGAGTGCTTCCAACATTCATCTCTAGAATAAGAATGCATATTCATTGTTTTATCAAAAAATGATTAAATAATCGTATCCAATATTGATCGATCAGACGTTGAGATTTGTAATAGTTAGTGGTGGGAAGGAGATGCATATGGTATTAACAACGACCGATGCGAAGTTGATGGAGATCCACCGAGCGTTCCTGGTGATGCATAATGAATTGAAACGGAATCAGTGTGAAGCTAGCACGAAGGAGCTAGCACGAAGAAACTGTGTGTAAGCTAAAAACTTTTTTCCAGAGTTTGTCCGGCTCATAAAACCTAGTCCATTCGGTTCAGAATTTAATTCTGCATCGAATGGTGGTATTTTTATTCACCGGACAAACTTTGAAAAAAAGTTTAGACACATCTTTGTTTGCCTCATATAGGTCTATTTATGTTTCCGATAATTCTTTTTCAAAGTTTGTCCGGTGAATAAAAATACCACCATTCGATGCAGAATTAAATTCTGAACCGAATGGACTAGGTTTTATGAACCGGACAAACTTTGGAAAAAAGTTTTTAGCTTACACACAGTTTCTTCGTGCTAGCTCCTTCGTGCTAGCTTCACACTGATATACAAAAATGCACAAATGCATTATGGATCATTATGTTGTAATTCATGTTAACTAATAAATACGAAACTGCTTTTGTTCTAGAATAAATCACTTATTTTACGCAATTATTTTTGGCGTCTCGGATTTTATTAACTATGTTTCCATCATCTATCCTAGTTCAACTACGTTAATTAGTTATCGGACAGTTTTCTCAATTTAAGAGAAATATCAAGGAGCAAATCCAGTCTGATAATACAACTTCATCTAATTATCAGAAAATACCTATTATTATTGAAATTGAGGTCAAATCAAATCTAGTCGAATCTAATTCTAGAATGGGATTTGGATTTGGTACATACATAGAACAGATATGATTTCGTTGAACTAAATAAATGATACACTTATCATTATCACAATTCGTTTGTTGTATCAGAAATCTCCACACGAAGAATCAAGACTCTCATCTCATTCCAAAGGTTTCAGTCAATAAATAGGTACCTCATTTATTCTTCATATATTAATTATATTTCTCATATAAATACACGAATTTCAAAGCACAGCAATTAAAATCATAATGAACAAAATCATTGCCACCGTAAATCAACATTTTTCAAAGAATTATTTATCACAATTCCATTTAAGCAATGTCTAATGTTTGGCATCGCTTCCTGTGCGACATTCAAAATGTTGCAACAGCAGCAATCTGTAATGCTGTGACACAAAACAAGGCTGAAACTGTGGTTTTCTTGCAAAAGGTGGACGAAAAATTCGTCGCCATGATAATCTACTGCATAAGTAATTGGTTGTAGCAAGATTAACATAATGTACAGATAGAGAGAGACGTAAAAATTGCATAAGTAGTTTATTCTGTATACTACAACGCTGTAATACTAATTAAAACCGTATTCCAATCAGAATTTTCATTGGGAAGTAAAACTTATTCTAGATAGCAATCATTATTTTTTAACTAGTTTGGAACAGACATATTTTGAAAAAAAAAGCAATCGAATATTGTGGCTAAATGAACTACGATAAAAATCACTCACTATTTTGTAGAACTTTTCCACTCAGAATTTCCACGAACTTCTGCTTGGTTCACGAGATTGAAAAGTTCATCAATATATAGATAGGATTAAATTTTTGTCTTATGGGTAGTTCAGGAACGTTCTTCGTTAAAAGATTTAGTACTTTCAGTATTTAAGTTCTGTATTTCATACTTCGGTACTTTCGAAACATTGTGCATTACGTTCTGAAATAATCCAATTTTTTTTGTCCGTAATACCATTAGATTATTAGGTTCCATGTAATGGCACTAACGAGGCTCATGATGATAGTGTACTTTTCTATTAAATGACATACATATGTAACTCTGCCAATTAATAAGAATATCATGGCGACGAATTGTCCTAGTACCCTTGCAAAAACTGAACAACGCTCTTGCTAATGGTGCAGCAAAAAACAAATATCCATTTTCAGTTGCATATATCACAAATTTAGTAGATCAAAAACAAATATTCGCTGGTAGACGATCATTTGTCAGCTTCTTCAATGGTTTAGCAACTATCTTTGCAATTGATATGACAAAGAACGAAGAAACTATTGTTCATGCGAAACAACAATTGATTACATTCATTCAAACGAATTTTCCAAACCTTGTAGCAGTTCTTGCACAATGCAAGGCCACAAAAAGCGTAATTAACTGATCTTCTCCTTATCAAATACCGAATGTACTCAAATGAGTCATCGATAAAACATTTCATATTTATTCAAAACTTTTTCTGATTTGAATCTATTATGGGAGAAAATTCTTCTATTAACGCATAATCACATCAAATAGAAGATTCTCACTTATGTCAACGATAATTTTAATCTAACATAATGTCAAATTTCTGTACTCTATGATTTCCAAAATCGTTGACCAGAAGATTTTGTTGATTATCAAATGTCAAACCATAAGGCATATATAAGTATCCAGACCATCTTCCGTAACCATTGACATTGATAATAATTTCATTTTCTTGATTTTCTTCATTCCAACGCAGAATTCGATGATTTCCCGAATCGGCGATGTACAATTGACCAAAATAATCCAATACTAATCCTTGAGGATTCTTCACGCGATTTTTATTTTGTATTCCATTAAGAATAATTCCTTCTGTTGAATTCTTCAGCCATTTCATTACACGAGCATTACGAGAATCTGATATGTAAAGAGTTATATTATCATCAATTGCAATGAATGCTGGAAAATTGAGTTGATTGAGACTATCACCTCTTCCATTTCCTCCTGCTACTATTGTTCCATTTATTTCTTCTTGTTTCCATCGTCTGACACTATTAGTATCATAATCAGAGACATAAAGAGATCCATCTTTGTCCAATGCTAATCCATGACAGAAAATATCCTCAATAATAATTTCTGGATATTTATTTTGTTCAAAAAACCATCGAAGTACTCGTTTATTACGATGATCACAGATAATTAATGAATTGTTATTAAATTTGTCAATAAGAACATCGACTGGAAAATTGAATTGATCAATATCATTTCCTGGCCCATTTCCACCTGCAATAGTTGTCCCACTGTCTAATCCGATTTTCCATTGAAGAATTCGATGATTCTCACTATCAGCAATATAGAGATTGTTATTCTCATCTACACAAATTCCTCCCATGCTATTTATTTTAGCTAATGAAGTTTCTGGGTCCAGTCCACCAGCAATTGTGGTTCCTTTTCTTTTAAATTTTAGTTTCTTTTTAGCTAAAAACATCATATGCAATGCATAAACATCGTCTTCATGTTTTCGACATACTTAAATTTGTTGCTGTCGTTAGAATCGACTCAATTGTTGCGGTTTCTTTGATAATTCGGTTTCCTACTTTTCTTCTTATGATGATTGGAACAATCAAAACCACAATCGAAATAATAGTCAAGAATATGATCCATAAGACTTTCTTTCTTTCCTTCGTGTTATAACTAAAATCGAAGAATTTCACGGAATACAAAGAACATTTCGAGTTACAATTTTCATATATTTATTGAACTCCATACCGCATTTTTCATAGAACAATTATTATTTTCAATTGGCGTTGAGTTCGAAGAATCGATTCTAATACGAAGATTGTACTTGATTTTGTTATACAATCCTCTCTTATCAATCTTCGTATGATGAGACGATATCGTCAGCGGTTAATAATCTGAAATTAAAAAGAATTTATTTTCAATAAAAGAAAAATATTTCAATGATGGTCAAAGAATCCGAGTTTATCCATGTGAATAGAAACAATTAAACGAGACACAAAGCATCGTTAAACAAAAGTATACAGAGAAGAATTTATTATTCGAATTCATCTTAATCTTTTCGCAAACATCAAATTTGTCATTAATGAAAAGTGAAATTGTTCAAATGAATAATACCCTTCAAACAATTCTCAGCTTTATTTACCAACATAAAAGCATCCCCTGTAAGTTGATTAATGATAAAAATATTTTGATAACCATTCTTTTTCAAATCATTAGTAAAGATACGATATTCCGTACCCCATGATTGAATACTTTCAGGCACACCTATTGATTTCCGTTGAATACCTTCATTGGTCGATACCGTGAACACAACTATATCAAGTGGATCATATTGCGCAATAATCAAATCCAATTGTCTATCACAATCGAAATCGGTCACAGTCATTATCCCGATTCGGTCACCATCACAAGTGAGTTTGTACAAAGTACCAAAAGTCAAGTTCTCGGATCCAAACATGATATTAACCGCTTTCCGACCACCAAAAACAATATCCGAATGATTATCCATATTCAAATCTACGAGTATCAGATCTTTAGGCTGAGAATCATATCTAGGAGAGAATATTGAAAATCTATCAAAATATCCATTTCTATGTCCCAGATAAATCGCAAGATCATGAGCAGATTGAAGAGCTATGATTATATCTAAATATCCATCGTGATTCAAATCATGAATCGCAACTGATGATGGCAAACTCTTTGGCTCACAGTACAGCGAAGTGCGGTGGACAAACATTCCAGTACCATCTCCAAGGAACACATCAACGACATCTAGAGACCGTAATGTAATAATAATATCCATCCATTTATCATTATTTAAATCAACTGGTGTTATAGTAAAAAAACCTGAAAATTGCATTTTGTTAATTAGTTTAAACGACATGTTTCCCATATTGAGTAAGGTAAACAATTCTCCAGTGTCTTTGCCCAAACAGATCAGATCAAGTAGGTGATCATTATTTAAATCAACTGCTATTATTGACTGAAGATCACCTGGAAATATCACTGTGTTAATTTGCTCAAAAGTCATGTTTCCCATATTGAATAAGAGAAACAATTCTCCGGTATCCGCTTCCAAACAGATCAGATCGAGTAGGTGATCATTGTTTAAATCACTAGAGCTCATATAAGAAAGTGAGGAAACGTCAAGTATCAGAGGAATTGTTTCGTTTCGAAAAAATCCGTCTTCAGAAGACATTACGACGTGAATAGCCGAAGTACTTTCACAAAAGAAGATCAATTCCGGTTGAGAATCATTATTTAAATCTTCAACCATGATCGAATTTAATTTATCACAAGCAAGTGTTTTTATCTCAATTGCTTCAGTTGGTATAGAATATAGTAATACTAAAGAAACGGAAAATTTATCATTTACAACTCGATATTCTTCTTTATTTACACACTTTCTGTTGATGTTGTTGTTTCTGTCGTTGTTGATTCGAATTCTCTTGTAATCAAATTTCCATTCATTGGAGGTGAAGTCTCTGTTCAACATAAACGTTTCTTTTATCATCAATTTTAAAATCGCTTTCGAGCCCCAACTTAGCCCACTGAAGGTAATCGACAATGCTGAGCCCGCAAATCATGGCCTTCACGACTAATGCTTTTCCAATGATTTGGTTCCCTAATATTCAAGGCTCAAGAAAATGAGAACTTTTCCGAATGTTTTTCCTTCGAAGCTTAGGATCATCATGAATTTCTTTTTCTCAACAGCGAACTGTATGAAAATATTTTTTAGAAGAAAACAATTATTGTGCATGTGAACACTTTCATGTGCTCTATCACCTGATCTTAGAAAGAAGAACTTTTGGAAATCTTTCCTTGTCTCAAAGCCTGAATTTTAGAAAAACGAATCATTGGAAAAAGCATTAGTAGTGAAGACCATTATTTGCGAAATCAGTATGGTCGATTACCTTCAGTGGGCTAAGTTTGAACTCAAAAGTGATTTTTCTCTCGTGAGATATCTTTACCTTTTGATGCGATATAAATAGAAAAATGAAGAAGGCCTATCAGCAGAAATATGAACATAAAACAAGCATTGATGACTTTGTACGAACATTGGAGGCCTCGAATAGGGTTTCTTCAAAAAAGATAAGTCAAGAAAATATGAAAGAGAAAGAAAATCGATGTACTCATAATGTATTGCACTGATGGTAGTGTGTTCGACTGCCGAATGAATCGTTTCTATCGATTGAGAACGAATAATATTTGCTCGTTTCTTTCGATATCGATCAATGTTGAAAAGAATTTCAATGATTCGTGGACAAATCCATTTGAGAACAATCGATAAACCATTATGTAAACTAAGTAGAAATGTGATCAAATTAAGCAAATGAAATCTTTGATTATAATTATATAAACAAACGGATGGTGAACATTGATTAAAATACGATGTGTAATTGGGATTTTTTGACCATGATTCAACAAATAGATCATTCATCAACTCATTCACTGTTTTGTTAATGAAAACTTTATTCCCGGGTAAAGGAATTGGTAAAATTCGATTAGTCAAATTCGTATATTGCTGAATGATATTTAAACATGTTTGATTAGAAAAACATTCAAGAGTTGAAGAAAGAAGTGATTCACTTGGTAAACAACCCATCTTTAATCCTGGAATTTTAATAAAATTCTTGTGATGAAAAAATCCCGCTTGAGTCACGCAATTCGAAGTTAATCCACAAGAACAATTTTCATCATAAATCATCGGTTCAGTTGGAACATAAACATTAGTGAAATGATCCCAAGGAAAAATATATTTGTGATTGGTTTGGTAGATTGAAATATATGCATTACCATGATAGATAAGTCGAAGTAATGAAAGAAAATTCAGAAATGTATGTGGAGCATTCGATATCGTTTGTTCAATGGAATTATTTATGTTCTCATGAAATTCCTTTATTGTCCAAAGTTCTTTGGTGATTAATAATGTAGAATGAAATTGATTAATGACATTTTCAACAATCTTCATTGAATTCGAACACAATCCTTGCAGATAATTCAAATGTGCCAAGAGAAAAAGACGATAATCCGTTTTTTGATTGCCAAACAAATTATAGATAATGTTCTTCGAGATGTTCGTTTGCCATTCATCCAATACAAATGAACTTGTACAAATCTTAAATTAAATTAACATGTTTCAGTAACATTACACATAAAGATCTTAAGTGTGTCTTACGGGATGATGTTTCGCTTGGATTCGAACAAATGTTTCATACTTTGATACTATATTTGAACATGAACATTGAAGTTTTTCACTGTAAATCTTGGTAAGATGCTGATAATGATCAAGTGATGGTTGATCAAATATTTTTGTCGTCGATTGTGGTTGAATAACAGTATAAACAATTAAAATGATATTGCTTAAAAGAAATAGAGTAATGTAAAGACGAGTTGCCCATCGACCACGATGTCGAGTTGCGGCACGACTGAGATTAGGGTTGAAATCGCGCACATGAAATGTATTCAAATTGGAGATAATGTGAAGAAAACTTGCAATCACTTTTCGGATGTATGTTGTTGCTTGATCACGAAACTTTATTTGAATCGCATCTAAATAAAAACAAGAAACATCGTTCGAATATGAATAAGTAATCAATGTAAATCAACAATTATTCGACTGATCTTGTGTTTGTTCTTGTTCTTCGGTCGTATGTTTCACAGTTCGCATCCATAGATAAAGAATTGACTTAACTAAAACAATTGTGCATAATCGCACTGCAAGCATGAGACCACCGATCATGGATATCATTGTGACTATTGCTTCAAATAAACTTTTGACACGAACTCGTTTGGTGTAAGTACAATGAGTCGGTGCGCAACTTTCATAGAAATTTTCATAGGAAACAGATGGATTCCAATCTTCTACCATAATATCGTTAAGTACCTCACCAATTGACATTGTTGGAGAGAAATGATTAACTGTTGAATTATAAAGCAGAGGACGGGGCTCAAACCACAACGGATCTGAATGGGATACATAGGTTAAAAGGAATAATATTTTAACTTGCCGTACCATGCGTGATAAACAATCCATCGAATATAAACAGTTCAGATTCGACAAGAGAAGAGAATCTATATTAGAACAACTTTGTTTCCATTCTGGTAACAGATAAGAAACTGTTGGAGTTGGATCCTCGCGAGACTTGATATCGTAGTTATAAATAAGAGCTGCTCTGTGGCAATGAGGATCGACAATACAAAAACAATCAGAATATGTTGAATTATTGGCATCGCTTGGCGTGAAACGAAATACGAACTACATCAAAGAAATACACATGATCATCAATTTCGGCTTTTGTAGATGTTTGAGAGAAATAATTGTTAAACTATGAAAAGACGACTTATGTAAAGAGACCTCTCACTTGGAGAGACTCAGACAATCGTGCAAAATGAAATAAAATCTGTACACAACATTTCGGTTATTTAATTCTTTCTGGAACACACAATCGTTATGTAAAGTTTGAGTGTTTAATGTATCTGTTAAAATTAACTATGAATATTTTTCATTTACTGTCGAAATATTCGTCTTCTTCATCTATATATCTAACAACTAACTTACATTCAGCGACTTTTCACCATTTGTTTCATCTTCGACATCGTTTACCACCAGATCTGGTTGAAATAAACGAATCAATTTATCACTCGACTTCATGTAAGGTTGATCGACGTTTTCAATCAGACGATCGACACTAATCAGATGACTAAAAGAACGCTTCGTTGATACAAAGAATTGCTTGAATATTTCATTGAATTGTGTAATAAATTCGCTTTCAGTTGGCACACCCGAACTAATAAACGAGTGAATCATAAATCGATCAATGGCATCTTTCACAATCGTTTCTGTCAGTTTGCAAAGATTTGCTAGAAGTTGAAATTGTGAAAATGCGATGTTACGCCAGTCCAATGGTGCGTACGGATGTTTAACCCGTCTCAATACATCGATCCATCGTTGGCTGACAAAGTCACTCGAACATATTCCATGAAATGTTGGTATTAAAGAGACTATTTTCGAGTAAGGCGTTGTCATGGTGAAACAAGAGCATTTTAATGTTTTAGGATAAAGGCTGTGTAATTCATTGTATTTCATTAGCGTTGGCTTTTCTTCAGTTACCATCATTGTTTCTTGGCGTAAAGAAATGACGAGAAAGAACACCAGAAATGTACCTATGATTAGAGAAGAGAAATATTTGTGAAAATATGCATTGTGGAGAAACACTCATACCTGGTAGTAAAACTAAATAAACATATGTGCTGATCTTTTGTTGTTTGATATCGCTTTCTCTTTGCGCATTGCTATTTTTGAACAAATTCGCTGCTTGTATTGAATGGATCAATTGTTGTTTTATGGTATTTCGTGGCACTACAATAAACAGTCAAAGTTGTACTATTTTTCCGTCTCAAAGCAATTTACTAATTCCAGTTGTTCGAGACAATAATCGATTCGAACATTCGAACATAACATTGACTGAAAACACTGCAACCAAACGAAATATAATAACGAGACCACCGTAAAGACTAATAAAAAGTGTAATTGCATAGGACGGATTCACTCGATTCGTTTTAGTATATGTGCAATATAAAGGAGAACATTTATTAAAATATACTGAATAGTTAATATTCACTGACCAATTGAGAATGAAAAGGTTAGATAAGAAATCGTTCACGGATGTTGAATCGTCGTTTGAAAGTAAAATGTTACTAGTCCAGTTTTCGCTAGTCTTAATAAAAGAACAGTCATGACGTATTAATCAACGTTAGACATACTTGCTCAAGAGTTGGAAAGTGTTCGAACAAGAATTCGAGACATTCCACTTCATACAAACAATCAAGTTTACTTGCGCGAACTCCTTCGAGAACCGTACAACTTGTGACAAATCCAGTAACCTCAAGCTTTGGCTGGGTACTTATCCAAATTTCATGAGTTTTTATAGATGGATCCTTGGCACTATTGTCTGAAGTGAGAACAGCCGACTGGCGTACGTCTGTATAGCTACAGTAGAATTTACGTTTAATAATCAACATTTCAATCATTTCAATGTAGGTTTCTTCCAATGTAACGCTGTAGCCATAATCACGTTTCGTAATTTTCAAGAGAGCATTTGTGTTCAGAGCTGATATAAGAAAGTTTGCCTTACCCAGTGTTTTCAAATAGTTGAGAAAAGAAGTGGCTTGAATAGACGTGCTATTCTTAAAATAATCAACAATAGTTTGAACCTTTGATTGAATTTGTTCCAGCGTATGAAGATGAGTGGTGGCTAGTTCATATCTGTCAATATCAGCTACACTCCAAGTAATCGTAGTTTTAGCGAGAGAACACAGATCGGCCAGAATTGAGAACTAAAACAATAAGCCAATAAGCACAAATCATACACCATAAAATACGTAAGATATCAGGAGGGTGAGGACGTATTTTATTGAGACCACTCATCCATCATTCATATGTTTCTATGATAGATGTCAAGCTCACTGAGAAAAAAAACTACAAATCTCTTTCTGCTAGAGTATACTGAAAAAGTGAACACATAACTAAAATCAATCAATGCATTCTCTTTCGTTGGTCTACACAATAACTCAGGAATCACTCGTCCAATCAGCCTTATCTTCGAATTTCAATGAGACTCTGATGCAACTATACATCATTGGAGATTTTATCACAAATTAGCCTTCGAGAAGTTGTCGTGTAGGCCAACAGTAGAGAGCACATCGATTGGTCGATTAATGCGCTCAACTTCTCATTCTCGTAACCTTCATTCGTTTTCACCGTCACCATTCACTAAATCTAAAATAACTGTGCAAACTTAGGTGAAGTATCTATAATAGAGACCTATACTTAGTAGAAGGGTAGTCTGAATGGAATACATCCACATTCTGCTCTTTTCTAGACCGAAGTAGTGGTATTTGAATGTTGGGTGCCGACATCTATAACGCAAATCACGTAGGAGCAGTTTCATTGAGGCTATCCATACTCTTTCGATGTTCTCCTAGACCTACGAAGTTCCATAGAGATCTGAGTGCTTTTCCATCACAGAACCGCTTTGATGGAATTTCAACCAGATCGCACTCAACTTAGAATTACGCAGCCCTTCACTGATCTGCAAACACTCTTGATCTTACCTAGGAACAAAAAAGCTGCATGCAAACCTTGACAATCTTATCTGACACAAAAGTGCCTGCGTGAAATCTCACCCAAATCACTATCATCCGTCCCCTTGGTGGTCATTCAACGCTATATGCACGCTTGCCTACTTGGACGGAAGCAGCATAGCTCGTTTTGCGTCCTTTCCTATGATGAAGTCACGTGGGTAAAGTTTCAACCAGATTATCAACACTCAAGTCACCCATGTCTACCTTCTCACTGCGCAGTTAACACTCTTTCCACGTCTTCTTAGTCTTAATGAACCTGTATGGGAAGTTTGGCGGCCATAATTAGTACAGTACGCGAATGCATCTTGAATAAGCGCATTATCTTGTAATTTTATATATAAGGATTCGAGAAAATTTCACCGACAGCCAACATTAATGCAATGGATCGGACTTATCTTTGAATTCGACTGAAGTATTAACGAGATGATGTTGTGTAGAAAATTTCAGCTCAATCTGATTCTTCTATCGAAAGTTATTGGACAAACGGGCGACTGAACATACAAATCGATTGTAGTAGTGTGCTCATTGTTTGAGTACACAAAAACTATTGCTTCTTCATAAAGACTATATATGTCTTCAGTCTGACACACTTTCTGTGGTACATCTAAATTTTGAATAAAAGTCTAAGTTTCCGCATATATTCTTTGTTAGAACTTACTGATCGGTGCAGAGTCAAACCATTCCATTATATTCGTTTTCTATTGTGATGAAATAAAATTGAACCTAAGCAGTTATCTACACGCTGGACGTTTGAAGTGTTCATGTATTAGCTGATACCGTTCATAAATGTCTTAACTAATAGGAGTGCATCAATTGCGATTGTAGAATTGGTATTTAATGGAATTGATCTCAATTATATCTCAGCCATGGACATGTAACTTCAAACGTGAATTTACGTAGTTATTTAACTATCTAAAGTTTTCTGTGCTTAACTGATGCACAAATCAAGTGGGTGAAGTTTCACCCACACACGCCTTCACCGTCAAGATAGTGTTAGAATATTGTAATTTCTGTGACAGATTAGGTTATCGATAGCAGTTCGTCGGCGCCCCCGTGGTGCGCCAGTCACGACTCGCTGTCCCAGAGTCTCCCTCAGCTAGTATATGACCGACAACATAGGTACATCATACATTCAAAAGTAATTAGCCTACTTTTCTAAACGTACGATTTTAATCATATCTGTCTATGAATTGGTTAATGATGCTGGGACGCTACTACTATAGAGGAAGTATAGAAATTCAGCAAGAACATAAATTTTCTTAAAATAACAAACGGTTACTTTTTAAATTTACTTCTAACTCTTTCAAAATGATGTTTTACCAAGTTTTTAGCATTTAAAAAGAAGCGTTTTTTATCTTTGACTAGGCGTGCCAGCATTCCGTTCCGAAGAACGGAACGAATTTGAGATAAAGCTATGTAGCATTTTCTCAAACATAGTTAAGCTATTGATATATAACTATCCACAATATCAAGCGAAACTACCATCCATTGTCCGTTCTCCGACGGGAATGCACCCGGTCGGACTGTAATGGTGCATTCGTATTCCCCGTTCTCAAAAATATGAAACTCAAAAGTGAAATCCCTGCCTTTGACCATTTTCAAGCGATATGTTTTTTTTATCTTTGACTCTGACACCGAAAAACATATAAAAATTTTTTTTTCCTATGACGCTTCCGTCAGTCGAAGGAACTTACTTGATAACTAGCTATTTTTCGAAAATCGTTCAACAAATATCGGTTCGCTACTGATGAATACAGTGCTTCAATCCATTGTTTAGTGACGAAAGCACTTGAACAAAGTGGATGAAGTGTGACGCTGTTGTTGACAAAGTTTCCCAAGGACATCGTTGCATTTGAACACGGGCATGAAAGTGTTTCTTTATGATCTTGATGAAGTTGACCGAAACGAGAAAGAGTTAGTTCAAATATTATCATTGTTCGAGCTTGTGTTTTTGTGATCGACATGACGAAAATAAAATAAAGACATACTAGAATCAAATGAAAAATGTATCATAAGTTGCCACGCTCAGTAACAACGATCGATGATGGTAATGGCGGCGCCAAGGGAGTGCGACGGGAGCTGAGCTGCCCAGATTTTTAAAAATTTTCATCGAAAACTAATGGATTTTCTTACCAAAATATCGAATTGTGGGGGCTGAGCCCTCCTTTAAATGAATATCCTGGCACCACTTCTAATCGGTGGGATAGACGATCTGTTTTTCAAAACAGAACGAACGAGAGAAGGAAATGCAGGATGGAAGAAGACGACATTTAGATATTTTATCGGATTTCCCTGCGATCGTGTTTCTTTTTTATTCGTACTATCGTAATATACCATCTACGAGAAATACATTTTATCGTTAATAATTGTGTACCAGAGATGCTTAGTATCTATTTCCCATTCTTCTATACAGAAGGAAGAATTGCTTTTCTATACTAGTTTTAATATCATATTAATGGCAGTCACAAAAATGTTTATTGGGTTAGCTAATCGTACTAAATAATTTTAACATTATAGCACCAAATATCCTAAACATATTTTATAACTCTTTTCTAGTCAATAGTCTTTTTAGGTGAAGTGATACGACTTATGCACAACGTCTGCGTCATGTTCCCTATCTTTATAAAAATTTCTTCTGTCTTTGATTCCCTATGAATGTAGTGACGTATTCACTTGGAGGTTTCTGACTTAGAATTGCTCAGACTTCGGAATTTAAGATTACCTTTTCTGCCACTTCATTGAATCAATCCTATCCGTCTACTTATATGCGTGTATATACACCTATATGATAGAACAACTGCTTACAGATAGAATACAATGAATGCGAATGTACTAGCGTAGTTGTATAGTCAAAACAAAGTTTTATTATGGCGGCCTCCTTACATTCGATAGTATAAGACTTTTGAAGAAGAAACTTCTTAAAAAAATGGACAGGTAAATCTCATCTCGGAATATCAATGATTTACGATAGAAAATAACGAAGCAAGGCACAGGACAGCACGGAAAGTTGTTGTCACACGATCTCTAACCTGCATATCGTACTGCTTTCCACAAAAACAAAATTTATCTTACCGATGAGCAAAAACATGTATATCCAAGTGGAATATTTTTGCTGTTTTAGAACAGTTGGTGATTGACGTGCTTCAGCATTTGCATCACCGTTATCATCGGCATCTTCTTCTGCCATAAACAAATTGTAATGAGAAATGAAATCATAAAACTGATGATGTAATGCTCTAATATGCATTTTTCTAAAAAATTAAACAATGCAAAGTATCTCAAGTTATTAGAAAGATTTCATTTCAGAAAAGCCGCTAGTTATCACAACAGAAGGTTTGCAAATGAAAGGGACTGTGGATGTTGAATTCTAAATGTTAACAATATTCACAGTATAGAATTATTGACGTATATCGAGTTAGAAAATATTGAATTAAAAACATTCGAGAATGTTTTAGATTTTTACCTTTATTTTACTTTGACGTAATTTTGTTTTATTTCCAAGTTCCATTAGAATAATGAAGGCTGTAAATAGTTTTCTCTCACTCTATAGAAAAAAAAGTCATAATGTGAGATTTTTTGTTAAATAGCTCATTAATAAACTAAATAAAAACAGATTTTCTTCGACTGATACGAGAATGTTCAAATTGTTCTCATGTTTGCTCGCAGTGACCTTAAAATCCATTTCCGTAGAAACATTTTGCTTTAGTCACACTTTCTCAGTTGAATTAAATGCGTCACAGCTTTCATGCAAGAGACAACTTCGAGAAACATTGAAAGCTATTTTACACAAATACCTTTCTTTAAGTTATTGCTCAGGTGAGAAAATGTTATAGTTTTAACGATTTGTTGAGATCATGAATCATACACTCACGTACACACTATATTAGACCAACGAGAGAGAAAAAACAAACAAACGAATATATACGTATAACCGAAAGGATCGATGGTTTATAGAGGATGCAATGAAATGATATGTGATTGAATAGATATCATCATGAAGAATAAGGGGAGTATAGTGAAAGCTTGCGTAACCAATAGACATACATCAAGTTAGTAATTATGCACTGGTTCTTTCTCATATGCTCTTGTTTGTACTATACTCTGACACCGCGACGTTTTCTATTGTATTGAAATAATCTCGCATTTATTAAAACATAATCAGAGCGAAAACACTGGAAGTATAGCTTTGACCTGAATAGTATACACTCCAGTAATGGACACGTAGCTACAAGTACCGTTCTTAAAATTTGTAATAAGTAACGCAAGTTTTACTAAAGGATCTAATACAAGTTCATCACCAAGTATTCTATAGTTTTCTACTAGATCCATTGTTGGATTTGTTCACCCATGGCTACTTGTGTTTATGGATCCTTTAATAAAAGAATCCCTTCGTAGATATCATTATCAAAAGACACAAAACAAAAGAGATCTCACGGTTAGTAGATATACCATTATAATTACGAAAGTGCTCATATTTCATGATATATACAGTTTTACTCATATCAATTTTAACCTTGAAATGTATTGCCCCACAAACTATTTCTAAGAAACCTTTTTCTGTATTTCAAATAGATTCATCTTCTATCATGAGTGCCAATAACAGTCAAGAGACTATAATGCGATTCATATCTAACAATAATATTCCTACAGGCTACCCCTCTGTGAAAATGTCAAACAGAAATATAATTTCAAGTCAAACGTCTGTTATTCCTCAAGTGCAACGTAATGTTCTTTCAGATACAAGACGAGAAGGATGACGAAGACAAGCGTGTCGCCAAGAAATTCGTCTATACGAACGTCTGCATTCATTAAGAGAACCCACATATGAGATTTACAGGATAATACGTCTGTATCTCGATGTGTGGGAACTGTCAGATGACGGAGAGATGTGGGAACAAGAACAAATACACGAATTTGAAGCCTTTGCTGCACAGGAACGATTACACCTGATACAAGATAAACTCGAGCAGTAAACAACAAATTGAATATGTAGACTAATTATTAGATGGCGGGGACACAGCATGGCACTATCATATTGAATCAGAAGTTTAGTACTATGAGACCATGATCGACAATAAAGATGAACCGTTACGACAGATTGAACATGTTCAACCACTATTACAGGAAAAGTAAACACAACTGAGTAAACATCTTAATGCCCATCGACCAGGGCAACCACAACAACGAAACGATCCGATAAACAACTATTAAAAATAATTAACTAACAATCTATATATTTATTCAACAACCAAATGTAACACTTTATTTTTCGGTTCTCCTTCTAGATAAATCACAGTGGTCATTTACCAATCTTCATGAACAACACCACATTCCTAGTACTCGATCCGATACCACACTTCAAAACAAAATGAAAAACAAAAACTACCAACTTAACTCGGTATCTGAAACTACATATGCATCGAACTAAAAATTTCATATTTCTTTCATGATAGTGACTCGAACTATATGACGAGTACATAGTTACATGTATTTCGACATGAAATAATCGCTGCACGTGATTTCACAAGAATGAACGATCTAATAAATAACTACAGTTTACATAAGCATATATTAATTATAACTAGAGAAAAAAAGGAAGGAGATATTTTTGAAGACTAATGTATGTGGAAGTAATCATTTCTCATACGAAAACTAATCTATTTTGATGAAAGTCTGAGAACATTTGGCAGAGATATTATCTGTATAATTTCACTCTGTAAGTTATTACGAAACTACAGTTGTTTGTAAATTAAAATTCGTATGATGCTTCTTGCAAATAGTCTTGTTCGACATTGGAACCCTTGCAAATTTATTATTATTATACTATTTATAAAGAAATAATTATTATTTCAAGAGTACTCTATTTTTTAAATAACATCAGCAGATGAAAAAATATTTTCTTTTATTAAAACACAAGATACGATTGTTTATTTCACGTATACAAATACAATATTTTCTAATAAATTTTACAGACGATGTTTTCTCTTAAAAACTATCTTGTTAATTTAAATCTTTTTTCATCATTGGATCAGCATAATAATGAGCAAAGAGATGATCATCAACAACACCGATGGAATACTATTTGGACACGACTTTATCTTATTCTCCTTATAATAACACTCTTTAGTATTGGTCTTGTGTTATTCTTGATAAATGAAACAATATTGATTGTCAATTCGAATCCAACAAAAGAACAATTTCATACACTTCCTCCAAATGCCAAATGCTCTTGTTCGCAAATCTCGATATCATATGGAAAGTTTACTACACTCGAAGCAAATTTTCATCAAATTTGTTCAAGTGATTTCGTTACTGATCGATGGATCCAGACGATTAGTTTTGGTGCGAATTCGACTTATTTCTTCTCGCAAGACTTTCGCACTTTCGGCAGTGCACAATTTCAAGCATTAGCTGCTTTTTGTCGTTTGTCGAAACTGAATATTGAACAAAGTATTTCATTCTTTTATTCAAGTATGTTTTTCACTCCTGAAGTAGTATCTAAAAATATTCTTCAATCACAAACTCAATTATCTATCAATGAAATTCGTTCACGAGCACCAAATAGTTTCAACTCTCAACTAGCAATAATCAACCGCATGATAAATGCTAATAAAATATTTTCTGCTTTGCCGATGAGTAGATTTTATTACTACGAAATTGATCAAAATACGGCACAAATTTTGGTGATATCTATTCGCTATGTTCAAAAAGATGGTTTGTCATGTGCTTGTGATGTCGCTGTTTGTCAAATGATTCCATCCGGTATTTACGATGCTTTCGACAAGTCAAGACCGACTTATGCTAACAGTGTACAATGGTCATTCCCAGGAATGTCAGCAGGTTGTTATCCAGTAGATTCAATTCTTGTTTCGACACTTGAATGTTTTTACGATCAGAATTGTGTGAACAAACTTATTTCTTTCTATTCTACTAACGAAACATTTAAAGCAATGGATATATTTGATCAAACAATATATAATATAAACTCTACTGTACAAGAAATGATTGATAATTTAATTATAGAAAATTGGACTGTAGATATTTCTTATGAAAAATATTTTTCGGAATGTTCACCGTCTTTCTGCACCTATTTCAAAATATTTCGACGAAGTTTTGTATCTATAATGACAAAATTAATTAGTTTATTGGCAAGTTTAACTTTAGGTCTTCGCTTAATAATTTTGTTTGGTATTCAACTTCATCGATATCTTCGACGTTCAGTACAAAGACCAAAATCTTCTTGTAAGTAAAACATATCTCATTCGAATACGTACACAATATTTTCTCATTGATGAATGTTTTAGTACGTATTCGTTTCTATCGTTTGAAGGAATCCATTCAAAGGAAACTGATTGAATTCAATATGTTCAAACACAATCCAAGTAGTGATCGACAAGTTCGATACCAGCGTTATGCATCACGAATCTATACAATTTTAATTCTCATTTTTATGGTTATTTTTATTATCTATAATACTACAAAAACATCAATTCAATTGAAAACTATTGTTAATCCAACTCAATCTGAATATGTTGAACTTGAACAACGACATTCCCAAACATTTTCATGTTCATGTTCCTCAATATCTATGCCTTATTCGACCATTATTACAATTCAACCAGAATATCATCAAATATGTTCTAGTTTTTGGATCTCTACGGAATGGATTAATTATATACTACAAAGTAAACCCAGTACAGTGAGCATATACAACTACGATTATCGAATGCATGTTCCCCGTCAGTTAAGCGCACTGGCAATGTTCTGTCAACAAGCTAAACAAACGATTAATGAAGCAAGTAAAATATTTCTTCAAACAGAATTTGTTAACTCACAGGTTATTTCTCCACGAATATTTTCAAGTCAAATCAATTCATTGATGGAAGATTGGAAATATATAACTACTAACACATTTTTGAGAACTATTCAATTAGTTCGTACTACTACATACGGAAATCACTTATCCAATCAGTTCAATTCAATTTTAACTGTAGTTGGCAGTTCAGCAGTATCATCAAGAAAATCAATCACGTATGACGAATGCAATTGTGCTTTGTCTCCATCATGTCATATGAATAGTACTTTGTATAACTTCGATGCATCTACAAATACAAAGACCGAATGCTATACAGTTCCAAATTTTTTTTTTGGTTGTTATCCAATTGAAGCCTTATTTTTATCAACATTAGAATGTTTCTATAATATGACATGCATATTAAAAACTGATGATTGTTTATCATCTACAATTTTAAATAGAACTTATTTCGTGTATGTTCCTCTTCAAACAACTTTAAAGATGCCAAATGAAACAATTGAAATGATTATCAATCGACTAATGGTTGATAAATGGACATTCAACGTTTCCTTTTCTTCTTATTATGATAATTGTGCCCCATCTTCATGTTCATATCAATATGAAGATCACAATAATCGTTATGTTATTATCACAACTATTATATTCATCTATGGTAGTTTATCTCTTGCATTTAAACTGATCATCCTAACTGGACTTCACTTCACTGATATGATAATTGAAACTGGTATTTCTGGTCTTAGTTTATCACGATCTCTTAAGCGTATATTTACTTGCCATACTGAACAACAAATAATTCACCGATTACATTTCATCTTAGTAGTTACAACTCTTTCAATTCTTTATATGTATTCAGCTTTTAATTCTCAGATAACAACTATCAAATTTCAAAAACCTTCGTTGTCAACGTATGATGGATTAATGAGAAAATATCATGATACAATCGAATGTCCTTGTTCACAAATATCTATTAAGTATAAAATCGTTCTCAACAATACACCTCGTTTTCATGAGATTTGTTCAAGTGACTTTGTTTCAGAAGATATTAGTTCTTATTTCTTTTATACTAATTTATCCTCTTTTCGTATTTTGCCAGATGATTTTATCTATTCCGCTACTGGACAATTTCAAATTCTTGCTTCACTCTGTCGTTTATCAAAAGAAACAGTTGAGAATTTTCTTATTCAACTCGCCTCGACTGATTTTATTAGCACACGACTTTTATCATCGACTGCATTAGATGAAAATATTCAAAAAGCAATTGATGATTTTCGAACAACAGCATCGAAAATATTTGTTAATACTCTTTCATTAATTCGAGAAATAATAGGAGCAAATATGATACTGAATTTTTTTTCAAGTAATTGGGTTCCACATGGTCCATCTAAAATGCTCAATGGGTGGGCTATGCATCACACACCTCGGAATTACAACGGATGTAGTTGTGCACTATCGTCAAAATGTGTATCTTCATCTCGAGGAATGTTAGCAGGTTGTTATCCCCTGGAATCTATTCTACAATCAACAATGGCATGTTTTTATAATAAAACATGTATTAATCAGCTGAGCTATATTGGTAGATTGAATGTTTCCGCATTGATTTCAAGTCATTTTCCATTAAATACAACAGTTGAATCAATTGTAAATGAATTAATGATTGAAGAATTAATAAGTAATATTTCTTATGATTCTTATTTCAACGAATGCGCACCATCGTCATGTACATATTCATATGTTGATAATAACCATGTTATTGAAGGAATAACACGATTAATTGGTCTTTATGGTGGATTGATTATCATTTGTCGATTATTTGCAGTTATTATTGTTAAACATATTTTATTCGTAACACAAAGAATTATACCAACAACTGACTAACATATGGATGACTGAAAGATACATGCTTCCATAGAAATCATTTTGAAAAACTAAACAATAAAGATACTATTTTCCCCCAGTATTTGTTTCTGCATAAGGACACTTTTACAGACTGGACGAACAACTGAAACTACTATGAAATGTAGTATAAATTATAGATACTTTAATATTATTGCTTTAACTGAAGTGCGATCAAATAGACCTACGAAGTTTTATAGGAACTTGTGCGCTTTTCCATTGCAAAAGCATTTGAATAAAATTTCACCCGGACCATTTCCAATTCAGCAACACCCACCCCTTACTGATGAGTGTGAGGGTGAGGCTCGGGTGATAGACAAAACCCAAAGCTTGGGTGGTTGGGCGACACACCGTGGTGTTTGCCAGCGCGCGTAGGAGTAAGCTGAAAATCGTTAAGAATGCGATATCGATATTCTGCAGTACTCTTCCCAAATGCTAGTTTATTTGATCCTAAGCATTTTGATAACGTTAATTATCCTCCGTATGGCGGATACTACATCCTATGTGTAATGACCAAATTCACTCTAACTCGTCATTTTTTTACAAGATACCGATTTCTTTTTTGAGAAGGACACCCGGGTATTGGTATCGTTTCTTGTTTGTCTCTATTTTGTCGAAAGAGAAAAGTGAAATAGCTGAAGGTGCTCTCTCAATCTGACAAAACATTTTCTTTCTAATGTGACCAATGGGGAATGATGAAGATTTTATGGCTTCTGTTCTGTGATTGTCGGAAGTGGTTGGAATTTTTTTTTCCAACTAAACAGTCAATATAAATACAACACGGGCGTTTCTTACATATAAATATGCTGCATCGGTCGCATTTTGGAATCAGATAGCAAGAACTTTCGTGATTACAACATTAGTATGACTTGTGTTGATAAATTAGTATTCATTAGTATCATTTTGTCGGGCTGGATATTTATTGTGGTCATTGCGCCTGTGCCTGAATTCAACGAAACTAGTAAAAACGACACAAATTCAAATCAAACAAAGAGTCTTGTATGCGTTGGTGTTTGTCGTACGTTACATATACTTTATATTGAAGAGGAATATGCTTCATGTTGTAATCATTCTTTGTAGCTAATGTGGAAATCCACGTTATTCCATCTTCTTGGAAATGCTTTTCTGCAGATAGTTGGTTACAGTTACGTGATGGGTCCAAACAAAACATTGGCAAAATTCGAAGTGGTGATACTCTTTGGGGTTTCAATGGAACAGATGCTGTATTCTCCGAAATGATTCTAATGCTTGATAAGAGTGTATATAAAAAAGGTAATTTGAAATATACGAGTAAAATAATTTCGTATCTTTTATTGTCTTCTTAGCCGTGTTCTATACATTAGAAACTGAATCAAATCACACGATTAGTTTGACTGCTGAACACTTAATCCCAATTGTTTTCGATAACAACAAGTTTACATATATACCAGCCATGAATATCAAGATCAATCGTGATTCTTTGTATGTGTTATCCAATGATCATCGCTTGATCAGATCACGAGTAGTTAAGGTGTCAGTCGAAACGAAAATTGGCTACTTTGCACCATTAACAACGACGGGTAAAATAGCTCTATCAACACTACAAGAGAATTCACTTAGTGCGTTTTTTAAAATTTTTGTAGGTACTGTAATAGTCAATGACGTCGTAGCTAGTTGTTTTAGTCATATACATAGTCATACTCTCGGGCAATATGCTATGGCGCCTGTAAGATGGTATCACATGTTGTCAAAGTATTCTCGATTGATCGGATCGTTTACTGACGACAACAGTCTAATTAATCAAGATGGTTTACATTGGATACCTGAGTTGATGCTCAACTTCGCTCGCCAAGTTTATCCATCGATATTACAATTCTCATAGTTTGCTGATTGTTGAATGAACTCACACTTATTTTCTTTGAAATTCATTATGTTTTCACATAAATAAAACTTCTTTTAATCTATCATTACCGCTAATATTACCGTAATCAGAGAAAAAGCTGACAAAGAATAAAAGACAAGATCCATGGATGAAAAAAGATGCTTGTGATCATTTTTGATAAAAAGAAAAAACTAACACACTAGTTGACTTTACTTTCTCGTTCTACTGTTCTTAAAAAAACACTATTAACGAAACAGTGAATCATCGAGATTTTACTTGGAAAAAATCTTGGGAAAAATGGGTTCGAATGATGATCGAATAATTCCGAAAAGGCAAAAAATTTTTCTATGAGATTATTTCTGCCTTTGAGGGTGTGGGTGGGTGTGAGTATAAATAGTGAAATAGATTTCTGATCTCTACTCTGATATTTACCAATGGCACTCTTATATGAATATAATGAATTGTCATCACTGTGTAAAAGAATTTTAAAATTTTATATCAGAAGGTAAACTTCTGATTGCTAGTTTCAATAGTGCAGAGTGCGAGAGCAGATTTCCACGGAATATGCACAAATGAAGAGTAGAAATTTGCTGAAAACCTGTTACAATTCGAGATTTGTCACACCCTCGGAATAGTGTATCTTCCCGCGCGGATTTCTTGAAATATTCAATCGTATGAAATTAAGTCACCCAAGTGTTACTTATTACATAACCACAATACTGAATCTATTTTCTGTGACTAAAAAGAAATCTGGTCGTTTACTTCACGGAGTTGCTGTCATTACGTCATGTTTGTTGATAGTCATATCAGTGAAATTCGATATTTTTTAAAATTCTGGCAATTTTTATAAATAACGTTATTGAAGAATCGCACAGAAAATGGCGATAATCGAGGAAAGCAATTGAAGGAAAATACAAGCAGTGCATGATTGATGATTAAGTAGTATGACGAATGGAAAATATAGATAAAATACCCATAATATTGTTTACGAAAATTTTTCTCAGTGATCAAAAAAAAAAGTTACTAGATCAAGCGGCGCACGCGACCTTCAAGTACCAGATCACAGTTAGCACCTGATTTCCACCAACCTGCGCTGGTAGCTGTTGCTGTTAGCTTGGCTGCATCTCGGTTAGTAGCCACTTGTAGATTTTCATTATGTTGTCGTTTCATCGATTCCATATAATCAACTGCTGCTTTATCTCCAGCTTATACAGCCATTTTTATAGCGGAATCATACTGATTGATAATCGTATTTTGATAATTAAGTAAAGTACCAGAAGCATATGATTCGGTTGACCATGAACAACGCCATTCTTCACGTCGAACGACGCGTGTTTCTAAAATTTCTCCGTTTGCCGTTTTTGCGCGCGTTTGTGTGTCCGTTTTTGGCTTTATTCCGGCATCTGCAATACGAGCTTTTACTTCACAAAGGGTAATCCACTTGTCTTCATCTACACCTTGTGGAGGAATAGTTAAACCTACACGAGCAAGGAAACTTGTAGCCCGTTCTTTGACATCGCCTTGAGCATTAACTTGATCAAATCCGACCAAGAAAAATAAATATATTGAAAAGAAAATCACCAATCGATAAGTAACTTTGAGAAACATTCTTTAATCAAATTGGTTTCTTATATTATCTAAAAATGAACCTCAAAATCAGTCTTTCATCTGTACTTCTATGTTTATGAGAAAATACGCCGATGTAACTTCAAGCAGTCAGATGATATTATGTGAAACACATGTAAATTTATCTAATAAGCAGGCTTCCATTCTAGACACGATTCTACTAAAAGCAAAACGTAGGTCAATAGTTATAACCTAAGTTTTAAATGAACTATTTTCAGTTCTCACACTGTTCAAATGTAATGATGGATATCGAAAGTAAACTATACACAGCTCTACAATTTGGAGCTTACTGCATTTCTATGAAAAGTGTTTTTTTTTGTTAATACAGCTACTAAAATCGTACAAAAATCATACTCAACATGCGTGCTTGAATCAAAAATCGGGTACATTGCCGACAATCAAGCTAACGTCTTTATTTATAGGTACACAAAGAGAGAGAGAGAGCGTGATTACAACAACGATTANTCCCTATTCCCGAAGCTCGAAAACGCATAAATTATGTGCGTTCAAAAACCGTTGACTTTCGTTGAGACAGTGATAAATCTCATCTTCCAAGTAATTTTCAAAATAAACGTCTAGTCGTTCGTCGACCTCCCTCCGGTCGGTCACTCACGGCTAGCCGTTGCCATACTGTCTCTGTTATTCCTTTCGCCTTCGAACGACTTTCAAACTGAACGATTGGATTTTCTTTTATTGTCGCTTCGACAGTCATGATCTTCTATTCATTCGACTACCAAAAGAAACTAGATAAGAAATTCTTATTGTATGATTTGCTTCGAAACGAACATTTTTCATAGTGCTGCATGTGTTCAGAATACTGTTTCTACAGTCCACGCGTCTGTAATTACTACGACGGAATTCCACTGACGGGTATACCACTTTGCGAACTACTTCTACTAAATTCGCATGACAGGACATGATGTATGTAGCCTACACAGCAAAGATGATACCAAGCTTATATCACTTTTTCGGATTTCTTCAATTAGAAACGTCATTATATACAATGCATTAGATCTTTTCGTGTAAGCTCTTCAGCTACTATCTTCGTATGCATGACGTCCATGAATAGCGTTCAGCTCACCATCTTCTACAAAAGATTTCAGAACAGATTAAGAAACAAGTAACGCTCATCCTATGGATTCGCCGACCCTTTTCTGAAAGAATTGTTCTACTGCTGAACATATTCAGACACATTGAAAAACAAATAGGGTACTGCCGTTACTATGGGATCTCAGCCAGACCATGGCGTTGTGTCCCACACGAGGATCAATGCAAGACAAAGATTCTTCTTTCTTCATGAACCGAATCAATTACCTATTTGTCAGAGAATAGTTTTCAAATACTAGCTATGTCTACTAAAAACCCCACCGTTCAAGGGTTAATCATTCGTAGGGCTCCCTACGGTCAGCCACTCACGGCTACCCATTAATCTTTATAATCTGTTTTCTATTTTCACATTATACAGATGAAGGCTTTTATAGACACTTTACTAAGTTGCCCACAAAAGAAAGCTGTACCGGAACCGACTCAGATTTCAACGGATTCAGTCGCTGGAATGATCGACCTGGGTATAATTATTTTGAAAATAAAAAGTATATGTATAAACTAAATTTAATGATGGATGTTATAGAGCTTCTCACGCTACATCGTATGCTATAGTGTTAATGAGAGTATATATGCTCGATGATTAAAAATAACATATAAAAAAACTAGTCATTTACATGATGTTTTCTCCTTCTGAAAGTTAGGTATAATTTATGTTTGCAATATATATCATTTAATGGGTTTTTTTCTAACATTTCATAAATGTGAGATCAAGCAAGATTTTGTACAGAATTTCAAGGCGCATCTTTTGGTGAAACAAGCAGCTCTAAACATCGAGAAGAGTTTTTTACTTAAAATTCGTATGATACTTGTTGCAAAGAGTCTTGTTCGACATTGCAACACTTACAAATTTATTATTATTATACTATTTATAAAGAAATAATTATTATTTCAACAGTACTCTATTTTTTAAATAATATCAGCAGATGGAAAAATATTTTCTTTTATTAAAACACATGATACGATTGTTTATATCACGTATACAAATATAATATTTCCTTATAAATTTTACACACAATGTTTTCTCTTAAGAACTATCTTGTTAATTTAAATCTTTTTTCATCATTGGATCAACATAATAATGAGCAAAGAGATGATGATCATCAACAACACCAATGGAATACTATTTGGACACGACTTTATCTTATTCTCCTTATAATAACACTCTTTAGTATTGGTCTTGTGTTATTCTTGATAAAAGAAACAACATTGATTGTCAGTTCGAATCCAACAAAAGAACAATTTCATACACTTCCTCCAAATGTCAAATGCTCTTGTTCACAAATCTCGATATCATATGGAAAGTTTACTACACTCGAAGCAAATTTTCATCAAATTTGTTCGAGTGATTTCGTTACTGATCGATGGATCCAGACAATTAGTTTTGGTGCGAATTCGACTTATTTCTTCTCGCAAGACTTTCGCACTTTTGGTAGTGCACAATTTCAAGCATTAGCTGCTTTTTGTCGTTTGTCGAAACTGAATATTGAACAAAGTATTTCATTCTTTTATTCAAGTATGTTTTTCACTCCTGAAGTAGTATCTAAAAATATTCTTCAATCACAAACTCAATTATCTATCAATGAATTTCGTTCACGAGCACCAAATAGTTTCAACTCTCAACTAGCAATAATCAACCGCATGATAAATGCTAATAAAATATTTTCTGCTTTACCGATGAGTAGATTTTATTACTACGAAATTGATCAAAGTACGACACAAATCTCGGTGATATCTATTCGCTATGTTCAAAAAGATGGTTTGTCATGTGCTTGCGATGTCGCCGTCTGTGAAATGATTCCGTCCGGTATTTACGATGCTTTCGATAAGTCAAGACCGATTTATGCTAATAGTGAACAATGGTCATTCCCAGGAATATCAGCAGGTTGTTATCCAGTAGATTCAATTCTTGTTTCGACACTCGAATGTTTTTACGATCAGAATTGTGTGAACAAACTTATTTCATTCTATTCAACTAACGAAACATTTAAAGCGATGGATATACTTGATCAAACAATATATAATATAAACTCTACTGTACAAGAAATGATTGATAATTTAATTATAGAAAATTGGACTATCGATATTTCTTACGAAAAATATTTTTCAGAATGTCAATCTACGATCTATGTCTCTTTAATTATAGTTGAAACAAGTTTTCGTACAGTATANTATCATCGACTGCATTAGATGAAAATATTCAAAAAACAATTGATGATTTTCGAACAACAGCATCGAAAATATTTGTTAATACTCTTTCATTAATTCGAGAAATAATAGGAGCAAATATGATACTGAATTTTTTTTCAAGTAATTGGGTTCCACATGGTCCATCTAAAATGCTCAATGGGTGGGCTATGCATCACACACCCCGAAATTACAACGGATGTAGTTGTGCACTATCGTCAAAATGTGTATCCCCATCTCGAGGAATGTTAGCAGGTTGTTATCCCCTGGAATCTATTCTACAATCAACAATGGCATGTTTTTATAATAAAACTTGTATCAGTCAGCTGAGCTATGTTGGTAGATTAAATGTTTCCACATTGGTTTCAAGTCATTTTCCATTAAATACAACAGTTGAATCAATTATAAATGAATTAATGATTGAAGAATTAATAAGTAATATTTCTTATGATTCTTATTTCAACGGATGCGCACCATTGTCATGTACATATACATATGTTGATGATAACCATGTCGTTGAAGCAATAACACGATTAATTGGTCTTTATGGTGGATTGATTATCATCTGTCGATTATTTGCAGTTGTTATTGTCAAACATATTTTATTCGTAACACAAAGAATTATACCAACAACTGACTAACATATGGATGACTGAAAGATACATGCTTGCATAGAAATCATTTGGGAAAACTAAATAATAAAGATACTATTTTCCACAGTATTTGTCTCTGAATAAGGACATTTTTACAGACTGAACGAAAAACTAAACCTACTATGAAAAGTAGCATAGATTATAGATACTTTCATATTATTCTTAAAGTCTCATTATAAAGGATTGAGGTATCAATCTACGAACTTTGGGTGTGTCCTAAGTATAGAACCTGTAAGAAAAGGTATTGCTGTAAAGTTTTACTAAATTTCAATTCTTTAGAAGAATTATTAACTGTCAAGAACAAGTAACAGTGTAACATGCTAAAATATTTGGAAAAGATAAAATCGATATTTACTTTTAATCTGTCAAAATTTATTGTGTTTGTGATGGATGACATATTCATTGATATTTTTGATTGATATGTAAGAGTAAGTCATTTTTACTCGAACAAAATTATACAAGAGCTGTGTTCGTCGAGTTAAAAGTCATGTCTTTTACTCTTATGCTTGTTACATTTTGATAATACGAAATGCAGATATTATTCGTGTTCGTTTGTCTTCGTATTTCTTCGATAACAGCAAGTAAATATTAAAAAAGGCTATTTGAGCGTAGACAGGAAATGGGAACAATAATTTCTACATTCTGAAATTTTCCAACAATGGTCGATTGTAATAACCGAATATTTTAGGTTCGAAAAAAACTGTCACGAAAAATTTTCTTTGTTTACTGGAAATCGACATGAATTGAAAGAGGCGAATTGATTTATTATTTAGTAGTTCGAGAATGAGACCACTTTCACTAAAAAATTTATAAATAACTTTCGAGAGAGTAATCTGACTGGAAATTTGATAATAGGAACTGTTGAGAACATTTTCCAAAGAAATATTTTAACTTTCTATAGACCTCATGATTTACAACACGGATCTGAATGGACTCACAGAAAAATATGATTGTTTGATTATTGATGATCATAACCTTGCAATTGGGAAAAATGAATATTGTAGAAGACCACTTGAAAGTCTAATTAATCGGAATGCCGATGAGTGTGATGAAGCTGCTATTTATTTTTCAACTTTACGTAAACATAATCGAACAAGTTCATATATGATCAAATATGGAGCACCAGTTGATACTATTGATGCATATCAGATCTATCTGGAAACTGGAAGAGAAGACGGTAAATATTGGTGTTCATGTCTATATTTCAACTTCAGATCGTTTGGCGTTAATTGCGAATATATATTTTCCAGTTTTCTTTACACTATGCAGGAACATTCCGATAACTTTTTGGAGACTATAATCTATACTCTTGACCAGAACATCCATAAAACTTCTGCATCTCAGACGGATGTGACAAATGGAAGTTGTTACATTGATTTACCTGAATGCAAACTGATATCAACCGCCTGTCTTCATTGGAATCAAATATGTGATGGTCAGTCTTTAATAGATGATTACAGAGTGATTAAAATTATTTGAAACAATTGAGAAAAAATTAGCTGATAGTTCTTGTTTTTGTATCTATCAACAGAATATGATATACAGTGTGTCCTGAAAATACTTTCCTAAAAGCTTTTGTGTATATCTTCGCTATTTCATTTAAATTCCTCCATAATTTATTTTTGATTTGTAGCTAAGATTACTAAGCTTTAGTTGTTCTAGACATCCAGTCTTGCTGTTTTCTGAGAAGCAGTGCCTATAAGCGAAATATACCGATAATCGAAGCACAAAGTCGAAATTTCTGAGAAAAAAATCTCTGAATGTCGTGTTTTTCAGCTATGAGAAAAAATAGTCATGTTTTTGTATCTCGCCCATAGGTGTTACTTTCTAAGAAGTGGTCGAGGCAATTTTCTGGAACAACTAAAACTTGATATTCTCAGCTACAAATAAAAAATGAATTGTTAAGGAATTTAAATAGAATAACAAAGATATACACGAAAAATTTCAGCAAGCTATTTTTTTGACACATTGTAGGATCAGCAATAATTATGAATATCAGATGGAATGAGCGAGGAAAATAAAATTTGACGATAGAGTCTTGTCAGTTTATGAAAACACTTTGGAGACTATACTTATTTCGTTAAATACTGTTCAATGATATTGAGCAAGTTCCACAATGATAGCCAGAGAAAGAACTCTATAGGTTGACACAAACGGAGAAATATTCTTGTTTTTAGGACAGATTGATTGTGACAATGGTATTGATGAACAATATTGCTTAGCACTTGAACTAAATCAATGCAATGCTCAGACAGAATATCGATGTCGTCAAGGTTTCTGTATTTCTCGTCAAGCAGCGTTCGATATGGTTCGTGACTGTCTTGATGCTTCGGACGAACATCGCTTCGACAAATATAATATGGTCCTTACGACGGATGTCTTTTGTGAAGACCATGAGTTTCTTTTCTGCCATGAACATTTCTGCGGTAAGAACATGTTTGCTTGTGGTGATGGAACATGCTCTAGCAATTTGTGGGATCGACTGTCCTGCTCAACAAAACGAGATTTACAATTTATACGCCACATTCTGTCAACATCGATGACTGACAAAGATTCTTGTTGGACATATGCCATTTGTCATCTGAAATTTCTCGATGTTTTTCCTCATATAACATCGTCGATTTGTCAAAGAAGCAAATGTGAGAAAGATATGTTCTTTTTTCCTGCTGAACATCCCATCGTATATCCCAACGTTCAACTGCTTTACAAGACAAAAAGAATATTTTCTTCCGATAATGTACAACCAGATTACATATGTTTTGATGCTCTTAAATGTCAGTATCATAACTGGTCAATGATTACTCTATTCAATAGAACATGTTCACCGTGGAATAACTTCAATAAAATTATGTTTTCGAAAGATTCATGGCATATGATGATATTTAGCATTCAACAAATATTTATTTCCTGTACTATTCCTTCGATTGAGTCGAAAAATGATGACCGTTTATTCGAATGTGGACAATCGTTCTTCATATCAAAGCATCGCTTAAACGATGGCTATGTAGATTGCTATATGGGTATTGATGAATATCAAGAGCGTGATACATGCGCATTGAATCTTGCTAATCGATTTCAATGTCAAACGGACAAAACACAATGTATTCCACGTTTATTTTTGTCCGATGGTATCGAAGATTGTATGGATGGATCGGATGAGAACTCTCTTTATCCCTGTTCGTCGTATCCTGTAGAAGCTGGTTGTAAATGGAAACGAGGTTCGTTGAATATTACTGTAAACTTCAGATTTCTTCAATTATGTGATGGATTTATCAGTATCAAAATTGACAATATGACAGATGAAAGCAATTGTCTTTCGACTTGGATTGATCAATGCAACTCGTCTTGGACACGTTGTGACGGTTACTGGCATTGTCGCGATGGGCGCGATGAACTGAATTGTCCACCAATTCCACAATATCCTTGTAAGAACAAAGAAGAATTCTATTGTATGAACAGAACAACCAGGACATTTGTTTGCTATCCTTCACATTTGGCCGGTGATGGGCATGAAGACTGTGTTGGAGCAATAGATGAAAGGGTAGGCGGGTACTGTCATCAAACGTAAGCAGTGAATATCATTGAATTATACTGTATTCCTTAATTTTTTTGTAGTAATCCAATGAATAAGACAAAACGTTTTCGATGTGGCAACTCAAGTGTTTGTCTTCATCATCAACAGCTTTGTAATGGAATTCGCAACTGTCCAATAGATAACTATGAAGATGAAGGTGCATTATGTCCATGGCTAGAGAACACATTAACAACAGAAAACCAAAATCCATATTTTCTTTGCCCTAATCAATCTAAATTAGCATTTCGTTGTAACCAAATACGAGAGTGTGCTAATGGTGAAGATGAATTTTATTGTAACATTGATGAACCTGACTTTATTCGCGGTATGCTCTATCTTGAACAGTATTTATCATCTATTATTGTATATCCTCCACAAATTCCAACATCATTGCTATCGAGTAAACATGTAAAGACCGATATAGTATCAATACATGCAAAGTAAAAAAAAGTTACTGAATTTTTTCAATATTTATATATGTAATAATTGAATGTTGATTTAGAATTGCTCGAATGCATCACACTCAATTAACTTCAAATAAAAATCTTGTGCATGCTACCTGGTTTTGTAATCGAGGTCTCTTAGGATACAAAAACAATAAAGAAATTTGTTTTTGTCCATTCTATTCATATGGAGATAGATGTGAATTCCAACGACGTCGAGTGACCATTACTGCTCGCGTGGAGACGAATGATTTTTATTCAGACAATTTTGTTTCATTAAAACTGGTCTTTTATTTAATTAATAGAGAAAATTTCCATATTGTAGATTACACTCAAACTATTATTATTCCTCGTAAAATGCGAATGAATTCAAGACCATATGATTATAGCAGTCTCTTCATTTATCTTCTTTTCCCAACTCATCGATATAAGGAATTTCGAGAAGCTGCCCATTTTGTTAAAATTGATGCGTTCATTCTCAATAATCAATCGTTGGATTTTCAAGCAAGTTGGTATTATATTTTACCGTTTAAATTTCTTCCTGTTCAACGACTTTCTGTGCAGCTGATTTTAGTAAACACAGTTTTTAGGTCGCTCGGTACATGCATTCATGGAACACGCATGCCCTACATGAATAGTGAACAAACTTGGTGTCATTGTGAACCTGGTTGGATTGGCACAGAGTGTCGTTATCGTGATACAGTTTGTCATCCCAATCCTTGTTTCGCGGGAAGTATCTGTATATCTGTTAGAGAACAGTACGTCTGCTTATGTCCATCGAATCGCTTTGGACCAACATGTCGAATTGAAACAACGCATATCTGTCATTCAGATATATGCCATAATAATGGCTCATGTTTAACACTGGATGTTAATGGGCGAATAGGAGAACGCCGATTCTACTGTCTGTGTCCTCTTGGTTTTACAGGCCTTAAATGCGAAAAAAAAGCAGCTCGTTTCAATATTCGGTTTGAATCGGAGTTAATTAATAAATACTTGCACGCTCCAGCGATCATTTTTCGTCTTAGCCGTGTAGGACACTTGGCTCAGCTCGAAGATTCTTACAAATACATGATTAAAAATGTTCAACTTGCAAAATCGTTGCCAACTTTTTATCGCGATCCAAAAGTGCATCATTTCGATTTTGCTTTTGTTCAACTATTCATAAGCGCTCATGATATTTTTGGAAAATATTATTTAATCGCTAGTAATAATACGTTGAGTTCCGGGAAGGAAGAACATCTTCTTGCCATGGATATTAATTCAACTGTCCTAGCACAAAATTATTGTCCATACATTGATCAATTATTTAACACGACAATTCTACGATTAGTTTCATTACAAAGAGCTAAATATTATCAACAACCATGTCAAAATCATTCTCAATTGATGTGTTTTCACGATGAAAGTTTCATATGTGTCTGTGATCGGTATCACATAACTAAATGTTTCAATTATGCTCATCGATCAATGAATTGTTCAAGTTCACATTCATGTCTCAATGGAGGATTATGTCTACAACAAGATGAAATTCGAAATCCGCTTGATTATTTATGTATTTGTGAAGAATGTTTCTTTGGAGAACGTTGTCAATTTACTACTTCTCAGTATACAATTTCATTAGATGCACTTGTTGGTTCACTGATTCTTGTAGATACGCCGTTTCCACAACAGCCATTCCTCATTCAAATGATATTTTTTATTATTTCTGCTCTTTTTTGCATCGGATTCTGTTTGAACACATTGACTACTGCTCTTTTTATTTGTCAAAAAGATTGCCAATCAACTGGGTGTGGATTTTATATCATTGCCTCATCGGTTTTAGGTATTGGTTGTTTAGGTGTATTAATGCTAAAATGTATCGCATTAATTCTATTACCAGAGTTATCTAGTGGAATGAGCTGTATTTTGATTGAATATTTTCTTAAATATTTACCAACAGTAGTCGATTGGACGCATACATGTGTGCTTCTTGAACGTGTTTCGACTATTCGAAAAGGAGCAAGTTTTAATAAGGAAACAAGCAAAAATATAGCTAAAATTGTTATTCCAAGTCTGATTTTACTTATTGGCATAAGTCTGATGCATGATCCTTTTCATCGACAATCAATAATTGATCCTCGACTAACTCAAGGTCGTCGACCTTGGTGTATGGTTGAATTCAGCACAAGTATTAGCAAATTTTACAATATGATCATTAATATGTCACACTATTTTATTCCATTCATTATCAATCTTATTTGTGCCGTAATTATCATTTTATATGTATCTCGTATGAAATCAAAGATAAAAAGTCAGACTTACAGTAAGGTTCTCAAAAAACAAATACTCGCTTGCAAACATTTGATTATTAGTCCTATTGTGCTAATTATTCTTGCTCTACCTCGTCTTACGTTTGCTACTATATTTACTTGTATTTCAAATTCAACACCATGGCGAATATATCTTCTCTTAGTCAGCCACTTGTTAAGCTTTTTTCCACAGATCGGTACATTATTTATCTTTGTTTTACCGTCGACAGATTACACAAATGAATTGAGGATTTTTACCAAAAAACTTCGTCTAAACAAATCAGCATGGATATATTTTTCTGATTTATATCGATTGAAGCGTCATATAAAGTAACACATATGTCGATTATATGAATATGATGATCGGTCATTCTCCATCGCTCGATAACATGAGAATCTCATGAATCCGAGCATCATCTATGAACCAATGGCAGCGTTTCACTCATCATACTCCTGTTGTCTACCGTATTAAATGAACATTTCTGATATTTCTTAGCAGACATAAATGAAGTTTCGATTATTCTTATTATTGATTATAATTTGATCTACACGATTCTATTTCATCTTGAGGGTGAGGGTATGGGTGTGGGGTGAGGGTGGGTGAGAATGCTTAAAGACAAGAGAATTTTCATCTTCTGAGAACCATGCTATGGACGAATAACTAACTAGGGGTGTCGCCATTTGAAATTTCGTAGACAGAGATTTTAATAGAAATAGTGTATCTTCCCGCGCGGATTGCTTGATATATTCAATCGTATGAAATTAAGTCACCCAAGTGCTACTTGTTACATAACCACAATACTGAATCTATTTTCTGTGACCAAAAAGAAATCTGGTCGTCTACTTCACGGAGTTGCTGTCATTACGTCATGTTTGTTGATATAGTCATATCAGTGAAATTCGATATATTTTTTAAAATTCTGGCAATTTTTATAAATAACGTTATTGAAGAATCGCATAGAAAATGGCGATAATCGAGGAAAGCAATTGAAGGAAAATAAAAAGCAGTGCATGATTGATGATTAAGTAGTATGATGAATGGAGAATATAGATAAAATATCCATAATATTGTTTACGAAAATTTTTCTCAGTGATGACAAAAAAAGTTACTAGATCAAGCGGCGCACACGACCTTCAAGTACTAGATCACAGTTAGCGCCTGACTTCCACCAACCTGCACTGGTAGCTGTTGCTGTTAGCTTGGCTGCATCTCGGTTAGTAGCCACTTGGAGATTTTCATTATGTTGTCGTTTCATCGATTCCATATAATCAACTGCTGCCTTATCTCCAGCTTCTGCAGCTATTTTTATAGCGGAATCATACTGATTGATAATTGTATTTTGATAATTAAGTAAAGTACCAGAAGCATATGATTCGGTTGACCATGAACAACGCCATTCTTCACGTCGAACGACGCGTGTTTCTAAAATTTCACCGTTTGCCGTTTTTGTGCACGTTTGTGTGTCCGTTTTTGGCTTTATTCCGGCATCTGCAATACGAGCTTTTACTTCACAAAGTGTTATCCATTTGTCTTCATCTACACCTTGTGGAGGAATAGTTAAACCTACACGAGCAAGAAAACTTGTAGCCCGTTCTTTGACATCGCCTTGAGCATTAACTTGATCAAATCCGACCAAGAAAAATAAATATATTGAAAAGAAAATTACCAATCGATAAGTAACTTTGAGAAACATTCGTTAATCAAATTGGTTTCTTATATTATCTAAAAATGAACCTCAAAATCAGTCTTCCATCAGTACTTATATGTTTATGAGACAATATGCTGATGTAACTTCAAGCAGTCAGATGATATTATGTGAAACTCATGTAAATTTATCTAATAAGCAGGATTCTATTCTAGACACGATTCTACTAAAAGCAAAACGTAGGTCAATAGTTATAACCTAAGTTTTAAATGAATTATTTTCAGTTCTCACACTGTTCAAATGTAATGATAGACATCGAAAGTAAACTATACACAGCTCTACAATTTGGAGCCTACTGCATTTCTATGAAAAGTGTTTTTTTGTTAATACAGCTATTAAAATCTTGAATCAAAAATCGGGTACGTAGCCGACAATCAAACTAACGTCTTTATTTATAGGTACACAAAGAGAGAGAGAGCGTGATTACAAAAACGATTACGAATAAAGAAATGTTTTAAAATGAGATATGCTAAGTATGTTTCTTAGACTTGTAGGGTCACATTTTCTCATCAATTGATCAAAAAGTTAGGAGTAAAAATATAAGTGTTCTTATTTTTTTATGCATCATTAAATCTTTTAAAATGAATAAAGTAGAAAATATTGGAAAACAATCTGCTTCATCTATTGTATATGTATTATGCCATCTTAGGCTTTGTTACATATAAAAGGCAGAGAAAACAAAAGAACTTTCAAGCACAAGGTTTTGTTGTTCTTTTTTTACATAATCTGATGGAACTTGAATTGCTAATCGTCAAAAAATACTTCGTATCGTAGTCAAGTACATTTCTGGGACCAAGGAAAGATGAAGACCTCGATGAATATCACCATTAGCTTTTTATACAAATTTTTCATCGCAAAATCTAGTTAAAATAATACCAGATTATGAATGGATATAAATATACTGTTTATTGTCGTTTTCATAAAAACTCGTTCTTAAATATTAGAAGCGAATTTGGTGAGTTCCTGATATAAATATTTATATTCGTACGATGAGATAAGAATACGATTACGAATTATTTTTACTCTATATTTATTTCGTTTTTTTTCCTTGGTGAGTATTTGAAGTGGCATAGTACGGCCCGTATTAACTATTTAGTTTATTCATTCTCTGATGTTTTTTGAAAATGTCTCAAATCACAGACTTCTGTTATATTTTTGTTTACACTTGTGTATGCATGTTACTTTGGAAAAAAGAATGTAAATGGAACATTAAATAAAGACTTCATTTGATTAAAGTGAAAAAGAAACTGCAAGCAACATATACAAAATCAGTTTGTTTCTGCTTGATTGAATAGATTATAAGTGTAATAGTTTACTTTTCGAATAATATCTTTGACACAATTTGAACAGACATCCAAAAAGAAAGCCTATTCCACCAGTGAGCATGTGTGAATAAATATCGGCTCGTGTGATATATGGGAAGAGATATTTGAAATTCAAAGACAATTACTAACAGCCAGCACTGATTTAGGAGGACCACTATTCTTTCGGAAGTAGATGAACAAAATTGATTTCTACTACATTGAGAAATGCATATACACAAGGAACCACCACGAAATAAGAGATAAAAACGAATCAATTCCCTCTACTGAAAGGAGGGTATACACAGAATTTGAGTTAAAAATCGTTCGTTTGTCCGTTCACGTCTTTTACATTGATAGATTAACAATCTATACTGCTTACGAAGAAAGTTTGACCGAAGGATATTCTAGGTCGAGGATCTCGAATTCGATGTTAGATTTTTTTATAAACACTTTCTGTCTCGTTTTTCGCGACAAAGGATCAATTTTTTAGACGATAGCGTTCTAAGTGGCCATACGTTGGTCAAAATCTAATAGTTGACTGACGTCTGATTTCTGGATCTTCATAGTCATTAGCATATTAATGAGATTATACGCTTTTATAAACAGCTGTACTATACGAATGTCATCTGATGCCAGTCATTCAAAATAATGTTTCGCTGGGGGTGAGGGTGGGGCGAGGGTGGATAGATATAAGTGAAACTATATCTATTTCTATTCCTATCTACTCATTTGTTATAAGTGTGATATAGATATCTATTTATATTCGAATTGATACTAGCCTGTTGGGGGTCGACTTATAATGTAAGTCGAGTTAGACAGCTCATGCACTATCTCGTGTAAAACATTTGGCCGATTTAGCTATTCTACGACCATTTGATTATAAAGTTTTGCTGATAAGACCATCTAGATTTCAAGTTACTGAAATGGGAAGACTGGATCAGCTGTTTTTGAATACATGATCACGTTTTTCGGAATGGTTTCAATGAATCATATGTATAATAAGATAACTGTTACTTCGTTTATCAGTTTGCACTATAGATAATTTGAATTTTCCATAACTTTCATTATCTTTGATTGAATTATGGAATTTCTACATTTAAGAATTCTTTAAAATCAAGATTATTTTGCTTTTCTAATTTTGTTGTGTATATGAGCTAATTGCAAGTTTTTTGTAACGTTTGATCAAAAAAACTCGAAAAAAAATTGTTTCGAATTTCGGTACGACGAATAGTGTATCGTATAGTAGTAGATGAGATTAGAGTATGTACAAAGTTTCCCGACAGTTGTACTTAAAATAGCCGAAGTACAAGAGTTTTTCGAAAATTGTGAAAACTGTCCAAATTAGTTTTTGACTTATATGTTTCACATCATTGTGCTTTCGAATTTGAGAAAACTTATTCTCGTTACATACGAAAGTACTATTGTACGTGAAATTGTACATATTCTCGTCCTACCTGTATGTAGAATTCTTGCTTAAACAGGTGTAAAAGTGTTGATAATCGCATATTTCTCATAGGAAGTCTCTTCATCACGAGAAAAACTGATTTTTCCTATTTACATCGCAAGTCAACCGGAATCGTGTTGTAGTTTAATGGTAAAACCCAGAAATAGATCAGACATACAGTTTGTTTTAAAAGAAGCAGCAATTGAATAAATAAAATCATCAGTAGGAATTTCAAATTTCGGTAGAATATCGCTAAAAACAAGTCAGATAGAGTAAAACAGTGAATAATTCGGAGAATTGGTTTTAATTCAAAAGTTGAGTTTCAGCAGTCGTTCTGTACCAAAAGAAGTGTCTTTGCCATATAATGCACCATCTGGTTTGACTGTGACTTCGTGAAGCGATGCCGTACCCTTGATAGCTGTTAAAGAAGGTATATTTTTCTTCAAAGAATCGATTTCTTCTCGTGAATATGTGAAAAGCTTTATATTGGTCTTCTTCTTGACTTCATTGATCAAATCAGCTGCGTTTCTGTAAGACTCGTCAGGATGAAAAGCCACAGTTTGATCCATCAATCGTTTAATCGTGGCACCCGATGCATCCGCCACTCCCTTACCGTGACCTGCCTCCAAATAAATCCATTTCATCGTAGTTTGATTAGTTACAGCATATTGTTTTAAGAAAAAGAAGGTGGTTTTGTTGCGAAATTGAGAAACTGGAGAATCAGATATGAAAATAATCGTTGTAATTCTTGACGGATTATTTTTTAACTTGTCGAAAATCGGTTGTAAACCCGTCCACGCTGCTTCGAACATGTGATTAGTATCGTCAGACACCGAACCAAAGCTATAACAACCATCTTTCATCCATACGTAACCACTGAGTATCGATATATGTTGTTCGTAGTAATAAGAAGCTAAAAGAATATATATTATGAAATAATGATCTTTAGAACATTGAAGTCTAAAAACAATCTTGAGCAAAGCAATACTGTTCTGAGTATATCATTATTAAGCATCAAGATAAAATCTAGTGCTCAGCTATTCACCTTTCTCCTGGCGTGCTTGCTTTAGGTTGTAATTCTCCGACCAATCCAATTGTATCGTAGCAACGTTTTCTTCTTCAAGTGCGACTTCTCTTGCTTTCTTTGCTGCTCGAAATTGTTGACGCACCCGATCAATATGCTTTTCTAAGTCCTACAAGAATACAAAAACAGAACTCACTGTCATTTTCACAGTGATAAGCTCAAAAATGAGTATTATCTTTCATTTGAAAATGATTTATGCCAGCAATTTACATTAATTGTAAATAGTATTTTTTAGATTTCATCTTTCTTTTCGCTCCTTTATTTATCAGTCAAGAAATATGAACATACTTCAATTTCAGTTGTAAATTTGTCGACAAAATCAGAAATAGGAGATGTGATTGTCGTTTTTGTTGAAATAAACATGTGAGATCCTTCATTTTTCTTTTTTGTCCATTCACTGTAGGTTATGGTGAATTTTTCACTTTTGAGTCGTGCTAAATCATG